TAAATAATAAAAAGGTTAAGTAGATTGCAAAAGCCAGGCCAGGAATAAAATGAGGGTGTGGAGATGAACAGTGAAGTGGGATAATCATGGCAGTGATACATCTGTTCTGCCAGTCCAGTGTCAGCCTCAACAAACACCAGCTTCCAGACCAGCTCTAATATTGGTGATCTCATGGATGTACATCTCAGAACAATGGGCAGTTGGCGAGTTGCTGACTAATGGAGTTATCCATTAGGTGGTTTCTTTGGAACAATCCTTTCCAAAGTCTAGTCCCCACCCATGTACATCAGAATCCCCCAGCAGCTTGCTAAAAATTTATATTTTTAAGTTCTATTCTTGATTTGCCAAGTCACAAATGCTGGGGGTTGACTTGAGGGATTTGCTTTGCTAAAAAGCACACTAAACTTTGAAAATCTTTGCCTTAGATCAAAGTGTGAAAAAGATTGAAGGAAATCCCATCTGACATTAAGTACTTAAGAAGGGAGGAGGAGGTTGCATCTTAGGTGAAAAAAGGGAGGCAGACAAGTTCCTTAGGTTTTATCTCAGTTCTGACTGCTATAGCTTTTAAGCTGGACCAAAGTGTGCTCTAAAAACACATGCTATATAATGCTGGTGAGTGTCTGTATTACAGCCTCAAAAGTGAGCCTGCTTCTAAGCTAATGCATTCTGCCAGGCACTAAGGATGCCAAAGATGAAGTTTGCAGCTTCCTAGAAGAGCCATGCAGGTAAACTAGCAGTTTAAATATCATGTGGTTCACAATGAGATGCAATTTTACACCCACTAGTATGGCTATATTAAAAAAAAAAAAAAAAAGGTAGTGACAAGTGTTGGCAAGGATGTAGAGAAACTAGAGCCCTTATATATTGCTTGCTAGGCAAATCACTGGAATGTAAAATGATGTACCTCTTTGGAAAACATTTTGGCAGTTCCACAAAAAGTGAAACATAGAGTTACTGTGTCTCCCAGCAATTCTACTCATAGGCATATGCCCAAAAGAATGGAAAATATATGTTCATACAAAAATTTGTATACAAATGTTCACAGAAACATTGTTTATAATAGCTAAAAAGTGAAAACAACCCAAATGTCCATCAACTGAAGAATGGATAAACAGGATGTGGTATGTGCATGCAATGGAATATTATTTAGTAATAAAAAGGAATTAAGTACTGATACATGCTACAACATGAATGAACCTTAAAAACATTATGCTAAGGAAATAAGCCAGATACAGAAGGACACATTGTTCCATTTATTTGAAATATAGGCAAAGCTGTAAAGACAGAAATTAGGTTAGTGGTTGCCAGGGATTGGGGGAAGGAAGGAATGAGGAGTGACTGCCAATGAATACAGGTTTCTTTTTGGGGTGAGAAAAATATTAGAATTAAAGAGTGATGATGGTTGCACAACTTGGTGAATATATTAAAAACTACTGAATTGTGTACTTTAAAAGAATGAATTATGTGATGTATGAATTATATTTCAATTTAAGTGATAAAAGAAATGGCCAAGAAAAAATAATACAGTTGACTACATTTTAAGGATGCTATGTGTGGTAGAGATACCATATAGAGGTAATCAAAGGCCACACAGCACACCCACAAAAGGAAAGGACACCACTTATTTGGTAGGGTAGGAAAATGTTAGGGAAGACTTCCTAAAGGAAGACTTTAAGAATGAGGAAGATATCCAAGGCCAGTCAACACTGGGGACATAACCTTTTTGAGAAACAGTAATTGGACATGACAAGACAGTGGAGGTGTTGGTAGACAAAGAAACTAGAGACGAAGGCACGGAAGACATCAAGAAGAGGCTTGAGGGATTCAAATCCGTGGAGAAAGGGTGAACTTTTAAGTAAGCGATGTTGGAATAACTGGAGAACCGTATGAAACAAAGATAAAATTGCAATCACTCCTGATACCACATGCAAGTATTGATTGCAAAGGGATTAGAGGTTTAAATAATTTTTTAGGATGAAACCATAGAATACTAAAAGAAAGTATGAGCAAATTCTTCAGTAACCGGGAATGGTGAAAACTTCCTTGACTGTGACTAAAAATTCAGGAAAAAGATTGAGAAATTTGACAACTTGAATCTAATGATGCCTCTAGATCTACCTACCAGTTTGCAGGCAATACAGGAGATCAATAAAACCTGTTCAATGACACTGCGGGGTGCAATCCACAAAATCTGGAACGTGGGTTCTTCTACAGATTTGTAATGCTGTTTTGTGAGCTGCTTTCTTTAACAAATAAGTGTCCCAAAAAAGGAGAGAGGGGTACCCTTTACATTAAAAGAGACTCAAAAGACATATGAACCAACTACAGTGTATGGGTCTTGTTTGTGCCCAATTCTTTTTAACTGGAAAAAAATTTTGAAACAATTGAAAAAATTCAAACACTATGTGGATGTTAGTAATTGTTAGGATTATTAATTTTATCAAGTGGGATAATGGTGTTGTATTTAAGTTCAAAAGAGAAGGCTTCGTGTCTTAGAGATATAGACTGAACTGTGGTGCGGATAAATGATACGGTCTTTGGTGTGCACCTCTTTTTTTTTTTTTTTTTTTTGAGACGGAGTTTCACTCTTTGTTGCCCAGGCTGGAATGCAATGGCACAATCTTGGCTCACTGAAACCTCTGCCTCCTAGGTTCAAGCAATTCTCCTGCCTCAGCCTCCCGAGTAGCTGGGATTACAGGCATGTGCCACCACGTCCTGCTAATTTTGTATTTTTAGTAGAGACTGGGTTTCTCCATGTTGGTCAGGCTGGTCTCAAACTCCCAACCTCAGGTGATCCACCCGCCTCAGCCTGCCAAAGTGCTGGGATTACAGACATGAGCCATCGCGGCCGGCATGGTGTGTACTTTCAAATAATCCAGTGGTGGGGGTGTATGGGAAATAGGAGGTATAAATGAAATAAAATACATTTGTTAGTAATTATTAAAACTGGATAATAAGTACATGAGCACTCATTATAGTATTCTTGTTACGTTGGGGTAAATCCAAAAATTCTTCAGAGCCACGGAAGGCCTTTTCAACAGGGGAATGAGGAATGACAGATGAAACTGCCCTTCTAGCAAGTGCAGCCCTGGAGTCGGAAGATTAGACAGGGGGCTGCCAAGGAGGGTCACTGTGATGCAGGACTGAGCTATGAGAGTGTCACTGGGGGTGGAGGGGAGGATCTGGGTGTGAACAGTATTAAGGACATAGAAGCAAAGGAAACAAAGAAGCGGGAATCAAGGATGAATCTCCAGTTTCAGGCTTAGATGAATGGCTGCATGGTGGGGCCATTCAACAATCAAGGGAATTCAGAAGAAATTAAAGTTAAGAGTGAAGGGAGTGATCATTCCATTTCAGATGCTTTGAGTGTGAGGTGCCTGTGGAAGATTCAGAGCTTAAGAAAGAGGTCTCGCTAGAGATATGGTGGCAATTTTCAGCTGCAGCATAATTTCCATGGAAACATGTAGAGTGTAGGCACAAGAAAACTCTCCCTTCAGAGCAAGCACTTCCTATCAAATTAGTAAGTTACTCTTGGGCTATTTTAACATTTAATAAGCAATGCAGTGGCTTAAGGAGAATGATATGAGAACCAAATGGCAGTATATGACATCTATGCTATTCTGTTTCCTCCTAATTTCCATTTTGAATGTGCGATAGATCATTAGGGCTTAATTGCAGGATTTTCTTGTTTCATTTTCTTTCTTCTAATAAAGAAGTTTTCAAGAGAATACTAAGGCATCAGAAAAACAAAATCTCATGTGGAAGATTAAATCTTGTTGTTGTTGTTTTCACCCTATCTCTCTTCTATTTTGTTCTCTTCCATGTTGCCTATGGTATTACAAAAATTGAAAGAAGGCCAGGTGTGGTGGCTTATGCCTGTAATCCCAGCACTTTGGGAGGCTGAGACAGGCAGATCACTTGAGGTCAGGAGTTCGAGACCAGCCTGGCCAACATGGTGAAACCCCGTATCTACTAAAAATACAAAAATTAGCCGGGCATGGTGGTGCACACCTGTAATCCCAGCTACTTGGGAAGCTGAGGCACGAGGATTCCTTGAACCCAGGAGGTTGCAGTGAGCCGAGATCACGCCACTGCACTCCAACCTAGGCGACAGAGGGAGACTCTGTCTCAAGAAAGAAAAAAACAAAAGAAAGAAAGGAAACACTAACACCATCTAGATCCAAAGTCATGTTCACTTTCCTGTCTTTAAAACAACCATAATAGGGTTAAATTCTTGGATTGATATGCATGTATTCAGAAAGACCTATGGAGTTACTGATATAAAAAAGCATTTTGTGTCAAGGATTGATTTATACCTTAGAGCAAGGGGAAGAGAAGAATACTCAGTCCTGTGATATCTGTTGCTGGGGAAGCGTAATGATTTATTGTTGGTGGGAGCATCAGGCCATCTGTTAGGCTTTAATAAAATGTGGTCATAACATTTTGATTTGAAACAAAGAATGATTTACCAACCCAAAATTAAAGTTTTTCAGCAATTGAAGGTCTCATAGGATTTGTTTTTGAAGGAGGGTGGCTTTGTGTGTGTTGTTTTATTTTTAGATATTTGTATCTTTAGTATTTATATTCAAATAAGAAGAAAAACACATCAGTATCTTTCTTTTTCTGTTCTGGGTTCATTCTCAAAATCTTGTGTCGCCTGCTCCGTGCAAACTCCTCAGCTTGCTGTTTGAAGGCTTTATAATTTGGTCTCATCTAAAATTAACTGAATCAAAATTTTAGCAGGTTGGATTTAGGTATCATTTAAAAAAATTCTTCCCATCCAATTTCAATGTGCAGTCAAGGTTGAGACCCACTCTGATTAAAATACGAATGAAGAGAAACAACTGAGGCATTTGGATTACCTATCATGAGAAGCAAATATCAGAAATTAAAGTGTTTCTGAACCTCATAGGGCAACTATGGTGTGTGTGCGTGCGTGTGTGTGTGTGCGTGCGTGCGTGTGCACGTTTTGCATTACCTCTTTCTCCCCTGCCATGCAGGTGACCGCCGTGAGGGTGTATGTGAACAGTTCCTCTGAGAATCTCAACTACCCGGTCCTTGTGGTGGTTCGTCAGCAGAAAGAGGTGCTGTCCTGGCAGGTTCCTCTGCTCTTCCAAGGACTGTAAGTGGGTTTTCTTCCAGACAACTTCACTACATTTGGTTTTCTTCAATGTCCTAGAACTTAATTGATCTTTGCCCTAATGAAAGGAAAAATCAGACATTTGGAATGTCGAGACATTCTGCCTACAAAGTGCAAATAATGATCATGGTGCACTCTCTGACCTGCTCTCTCTGTTCAATTTTTAGATGAGCAGTCTACCTAGATTGGCAACACCTAGAAGTTTTTACCATTTTAAAAACATACTATGATACTCTGTAGCTTTTGGGTACTGGGTCAACCAATAGCCCTGCAATGGGCTATGTCCAGCAGTTAACATAAATGAGTAACTCTTCCCCTGTTCTTCAAAATGCCCATCGTGTGTCTGCATTCTTCATTCAATAATATTTATTGAACACTATTAAGTGGTGGGTGCTGGAGATGCAGCAGTGAAAAAACAACAACGTGCCTGCCCTCCTCGAGTTTCTATTTTTGCAGGGGAGAAGTGTATAAGATACTACTGCATTAATAAAAAAACTTGCAAGGCATGCAAAATGCATACATAACATTATTTTTAAAGGTTGAAGAACTCGAGGACTGAAATACTGACTCTGATAGCTTTGGCCTGGACTCCAGGGCTTTCCTTACTCTCTATTTTAGCAATACTTTGAAGAGTAGAAAATGGGAATCAGCTGGTTGTTCTATCAGGCCAGTTTCCCCCTCAAATTGGATATTTATTCCTCATTGAATTAGGAGAATGGCTTAGCGTAATGTAGATGCCGCTTAAGTGAACTAGTCAGCACAGAACAGTCCTCACATCCCTGCTATTATATCATACAACCCAATGCCAACAACACTAGTTCTAAAATTACTGTTGATAGTTCCAGTCTAAAATTCAAAACATAAGGACTTGAAAACAAATTTGGAGAGAAGCAAAATGAGATAGGCTCCTTTCCCCACTCATTCATTGAGTCTCTTTCTTGTTCTTGTTTATTTTTTTCCCCTATATTGGTTGCTTCAGATACCAGAGGAGCTACAACTACCAAGAAGTGAGCCGCACCTTATGTCCCTCAGAAGCAACCAACGAGACGGGCCCCTTGGAGCAATTGATATTTGTAGATGTAGCATCCATGGCACCCCTGGGTGCCCAGTACAAACTGCTAGTTACCAAGCTCAAGCACTTCCAGCTCCGGTAAGCGGGACTTTCTCTGTTTATGTGTCTGTGCTTCCTGTGCTTGTGGATGCTCAATTTATCTTCCATCCTTACAGACTGGGACTGTCGAAGGAAATTACCCACTTAGCGTATGATTTTAGCACCTGCCGAACTCTCCTTCCCATAACTGAGCAGTAGGGCCTTAATCTATACAAAAGAGTGGGAGTGCAGAAGGTGAGAGTGGTTGACCTCATAGGTGAATCTGTTTTCAGGGATCAGTGTGAGGGTCCTGTCCAACCTGAAGCCCAGGCAAGAATGACTGGTGACTAAATACTTTTGTATTCCCAACCGGTGCCACACTCCTGAAGGAAGTTTTGTTTTAGTTCTAGGGAAGACATTAAGCTACTTTCCTTGTCCTTATTATGACTCCTGCTTTCTCCTTCCAGGTTAGTAACATAGGTAGGAATGCCGCTTTGTCCTTTCTTGGTGTGACTAGTATTGTTTTCCTCCTGTTTTTTAAAAAACTAAAATAAACAGGCAAGCTCATTGAAAAAATAAGCATGAGACTTGCACACTTCACTAAAGAAGCTACCCAAATAGTAAAAAAAAAAAAAAAAAAAAAAAACACAACCTCATTAGCTATAAGAAATGTAAATTAAAACCATAATGGGATTCCATTACAACTACCAAATTGCTATAATTTGAAAGGCCTACATTCCACTCCTTTGATCTATACCCAACTCCTAGATATCTAATTGTGGTATTCATTCAGTGGGATACTACGCAAAAATAAAAATGAACAAACTATTGCTATACCCAACAACATGGATGCATCTCACAATGTTGAGAAATAGAAGACAGGCCGGGCACGGTGGCTCACGCCTGTAATCCCAGCACCTTGGGAGGCTAAGGCAGGTGGATCACCTGAGGTCAGGAGAGCGAGACCAGCCCGACCAACATGGTGAAACCCCGTCTGTACTAAAAAAATTAGCTGGGCAGGGTGGCAGGCACCTGTAGTCCCAGCTAATCCGGAGGCTGAGGCAGGAGAATGCTTGAGCCCAGGAGGGGGAGGTTGCAGTGAGCCAAGATCATGCCATGCACTCCAGCCTGGGTGACAGAGTGAGACTCCATCTCAAAAAAAAAAAAAAAACAAAAACAGAGGCCAGACAAAAGGAATGTATGCTATTTTATTCCATTTATATAAAATTTACAGGCAGGCAAAACTATTCTGTGACGTTAGAAGTCAGAATAGTGGTGCCTTTGGGGAGGATAGAAGTGCATGGCTATGTTTGATGATAATTTATTCAAATATATACTTATAACTGCACACTTTTCTATAATACATGTTTGTTATATTTCAATTAAAAAGTTAATTTTTTAAAAAATCAGAATATTTCAAAATCGCACATGTCACTGTTTTCCAGCTTATTTTTCTGATCAGAATGTTTGGCTCTACAGTAAAGTTCTCCTTAAATTTAAGGCAGTTTATAAAGACATCTGTAGCCAGTAGAGTTGCTAATGGGACTCAAATATTTATCTTGGTCTTCTCTACACTCTTTGATATAGTGTTATACCCATACAGAAACATGGACAGATAAATGAATGAATGGTCAGAAGGATGGAGAAGTAGTCACAGTATTTTTTCTCAAGTCCCTCCATTAATTCTGGTGTTGGAAAAGGTGACATGATAATTTTAAGAGCAAAGAACACTCATCCTCCACAAAAACAAGGAGAAAAAGATTCTCTGGTGAATAAGATCCACCCAGAGCGATTAAATCAGAGGCCCTAGGGGAGAGGTTTGGGCACTGGTAAATTGTTTGAAGTTCCCCAGGTGTTTCTAATGTGCAGTCAGAGTTGAGAACCACTACCCTAAAGCAATTTCTAAATATGGTGCTTCAGTTTAATTTAGTATATATATTTTGAATCCGAGTCTTTCTCTGTCACCAGGCTGGAGTGCAATGGCACGATCTCAGCTCACTGCAACCTCCATCTCCTGGGTTCAAGCGATTCTTGTGCCTCAGCCTCCCAAGTAGCTGGGATTACAGGTGTGTGCCACACTCCTGGCTAATTTTTGTATTTTTAGTAGAGACGGGATTTGTCCATGTTGCCCAGGCTGGTCTCGAACCCCTGGGACCCAAGCAATCCACTCGCCTCAGCCTCCCAAAATGCTGGTATTACAGGCATGAGCAACCGTGCTTGGCCTAATTTAATAATTTAAAAATCTACTTGTGATATTTAACCATATGGGAATACACATTTGATGGGAGTGATAACATGTTACAGTACTTACATAGAGTGCAGTTTGAACTGCAGAGAAGCCTTGCTTTTATCAACTGATCTCTGTCTTTAATCAATCAATCAAGTGTCACCTGGTAGCAGTGGCAGTGTCACTTGGTGGTAGCATATTTGAATTGTAGGAATGGTCTTCTGTAAGCTTAATTAGAATCTTTTGAGAACTGAATGCTGTGAAAATAAAGTCATAAGGTCACAACTGTAGCGAGTGTTAATGAATTATATGCATGCTGATGAAATTGCAAATCTATTCCCTCATGTTGTTTTCTGTTTTTACCTCATAATATGACTTAGCCTCAGCAACCAGACTTTAAAAGCATTTCAAAATCACACATTTACACACCAGCCTGGCTGGTGACCTGGAAATCCAAAGGATGATGGTAGTGGGGAAATGCTGAGGATTGTGATGAGAACTGGGCTCAGGAATTGAGAGAAACACTGAAGAAGTAATTCGAAATCTCTAAGATCGAAGTTTCTATCGTACGTTTTTGCATGGCAGACTATAATGTACATAGAACACATTTTGGGAATTTTTTTCCCCTAGATTCATACGTTTTAAGAACTGAAGGACCTTTGGGAATCTAATCCACCCGCCTCATTTTAACAGATGAGCAAACTGCTGCCCAGAGAAGTTAAGTGACTTGTTCAAATTCACACAGCTAGGAAAGGGCAAAATCAAGGCTAAATTGTACTTCTGACTCCCGGTCCTGCACTCTTCTCACTATGACAAGCTATTTCTACTTTCTATTTAAAACTCTCCTCCCAGTGGTTTGTGTTTCTCTAAATATGTTTCTCAATTCCTTGAAACATTTACTTAAATCCAGCTTTACTAGCAGAGCACAGTGGCTTCCGCCTGTAATCCCAGCTACTCAGGAGGCTGAGGCAGGAGGATGACTTAAGTCCAGGAGTTAAGACTAGCCTAGGCAACATAGTCTCTAAAAAAACAAAAACCAAAAAAATTCGCCAGACATGATGGTGTGTGCTTGTAGATCCAGTTACTCAGGAAGTTGAGGCAAGAAAACTGATTGAGCCCAGGAGTTTGAGGCTGTTTTTAGCCACGATCGTGCCACTGCACTCTAGGCTGAGCAACAAAACGAGACCCCATCTCTACAAAATTCCTTTAAAATTAAAACAACTCTGCTTTAAAGCATTACTCCCTGCCATCTACCTATCCTCTGCACACACACACACAACTGCGCCACTACTCTTTTTCTACACCCCAGTGCCTAGGTGTTTAGTGTTGCTAGAGTGTGAAATTGCAGGCAGGCAACAGCAGATGGTCACAGAAACAGGCAAGCATGTGATCATGGGGTAGGAGGATCTTAGGAAGGGGCATTAGGAAATTTAAACAGGCCAGGCGCAGTGGCTCACGTCTGAAATACCAGCAGTTTGGGAGATCAAGGCGGGCACATCACCTGAGGTCAGGAGTTCACGACAAACCTGGCCAACATGGTGAAACTCCATCTCTACTAAAAAAAACCAAAAAATAGCCGGGCGTGGTGGCACACGCCTGTAATCCCAGCCACCTGGGGGGCTGAGGCAGAAGAATCGTTTGAACCGGGGAGGCGAAGGTTGCAGTGAGCCGAGATATTACACCACTGCACCCAGCGTGGGCCATAGAGAAAGACTCCGTCTCACCAAAAAAAAAAAAAAAAAATTAAACAGTTGTCTATATTGTGTATGGAGAATGGATGTGAAGAGGACAAAACAGGATGCAGAGAAGTTAGAAGGCTGATGCAGCGGTCAAAATAAATAATGAGGAGGTGAATTGAAATATCAGGGGAGGCGAAATTGCTGAAATTTGATTAGATATGAGGGAAAAAGAAAAGAGAGAGTCATTAATGCCAATGTGGCTTGTAGATGGTGGGGCCACTAAGAGAAAATGAGAATTTTGATAAGAAAAAGAATAGATGATAGCTTCACTTTGGGACAGGTTGAGTGTGAAGTACAGATATCTGGCGAAGTGTTGGATGTATACTAATATGACACTTAGGGGAGAAGGAGAGCTCTGAGTTAGGCAGACTAGTGCAGTCTTGATGAACCCATCAAGAAGCCTGGTCCACATGATGCCTGGGCAAGACAGGGTTACAGGAGATAGGGCTGGAGAAACAGGCAGTGCCCAACTTTGATCTTTAAGATGTTGGATGCTAGACTATGGAGTGAAACTTCATCTTTCAGGTTATGGGAGCCATTAAAGGATTGTGAGCAACAGGATAGCATTCAGAGATCTGATTTCTAGAGATGATATGAGTGGCAGTGTGGAAGAGGAATTACAGAGAGGAAAGATGAGGGACAAATAGGCAAATGAAAAGTTATTTGAATGGGGAAGAATAAAAAATGATTAGAACTTGAATGTATATGGCAGCAACAAGGTTGTAAGGGAGAAAACAAGTCAAATAGTACACATGGAGATAATTCATAATTCAGCAAATATATGTGGCAGAATCAAATTTATAGTCCTCTATGAATATTTGCAGCCTTCAGCCCTCCCCTAGCCTTCTAAGTAGGGATCTTGAGTCTGTTTTAAGAGGAGAGAGTGTGTGAGTGAGATAGCTCAGCTACCATGCTGTGAAAAGTAATAGATTTTTTGAAGAAATGGGTGGATAAGAGAATTTTAGACGATTTTGCTATGTGTCATACTATATAATCACCTTCTGGTATTTTGGAGGAGACTACAATAAAAATTTACATTCCTTTTTTTTTTTTTCTCTCTCTCTCTCTCAATGATGCTGTACTGGGCAAACATGGTGCTTCAGGTGGAGGCAGGTTACTTTTACACTAATAGAATGAGTAGGACCTGGTGATCAATCAAATGTGGAAAGTGATAGAAAGGGGGTAGTCCAAGATGACTCCTAGGGTGATGTCAGAAGTCTGGTGAGGTTTACTGACAAAGGGACATAGTAGGTCAGGATCAGGGAAGTGACAGCACATTCCCTCTTATCATGTTGAATTTGAGGTATTCAAGGGATGGTCAAGTGCAGAAGCCCAGCAGGGGATCACTATTCTGTGACTGAAGCTCAGGAGATGGCCCTGGGCTGGACATAGGGACTTGAGATTCACTGGCATTATTGTGGCATTTACAGCAGCTGGATACACATTTTAAAATGAGTTGATCAAGAACAAGGCTGTGGGTAACATTCTCATTTAAGGGACGGTTTGAGAAACTAAAGCTGTCATAAGGGGCTGAGTAGACACAGCCAGAGGTGTGGGAGAAATCACAGGAGGTTAAGTCACTGGATTTAGTACTTAGATAGTGCTATGGTCTCAATGTCTGCGTTCCCCAAAATTCATATCGAAATCTCCACAGTGATGGTACTCGGAGTTGGGGCCTGTGCGAGGTGATTAGGTTGTGAGAGTGGAGCCCCTGTGAATGGGATTAATACCTTTATGAAAGAGTCCCCCAAAAGGCCCTTTGTCCTTTATACCACATGAGGATGCAGTGAGAAGGCACCATCTATGAGGAAGCAGGCTCTCATCAGACACCTTGCTGTTGAACATCCTAGCCTGTAAAACTGTAACAAATAATAGATTTCCGTTCTTTACAAGTCACTGAATTGACGGTATTTTTGTTATAGCTGCCTGAATAGACTAGGGCAGGAGCTGACTGTTTCCCTTAGCAAAGGCAATTTCAAGGGAGTGGTGGAGAGAGAATCCTGATAGCAGTGGGTGGAGGAAAGAATGAAAGAGAGATAAACATGGAATACTCCTAAAAGTAGCTGGTTTGTGAAGAGAGGAAGGATACAGCATGACATTAAAGGATGGAGATCCAGGGAAAAGGGAGGCATTTGGGTGGGGTGTTTGTTATTTATTTTGAAAATGGTTGAGACTAGAATATATTTATAAACAAAGAGGTAGAAGGGCAGATTAAATTCATAGGAGAGTTGGATATTTGTAGAAGCAAAGTCCCAGAGTATGATAGAAAGAATGGGAATTTGGTACATGAGTGCGGAGTTTATACTTAGACCAGAGGAATGAAGGGCGGACGATTCCCAATGACAAGAAGGTGGGTGGGAAAGCTACAGTCCTGAAGGGAGTTCATGGCAGATGGCAGAAGGAGATAACAGGGAATGACATTCTGAAGTTCATAGTTCAGGTGAATAATAGCATATCATTTCCTTCAACAAACAAAGGAGGGGTTTTGAACGTCCACTGTGCTCTGTGCTAGGGGCTTGTTAATCAAGATGTGTAAGATGCTGTGACTCTCACAGTCCTCTCTGGTACTCACCTCAAAAACAAACTACTGAAAGTTTGTCCTGCCTCTCTTTCTACATAGTCTTTCGTCCCATCTCTTTTATTTTTCTTCTACTTGGTTACTCTCCTGTCTATATTTCTTCTCCGTCTCTCTACCCCGCCCATGGGCCCCTCTCTGCCTCTTCTCCTGACTCCCCTATCTGCACCTCTGTCTCTCAAGTCCATGGGTTTTCGCCCTTCTCCCCTTTCTTGAAATAGCCAACACAAGGAAACAAAATTGTTTTTTAGCCTCTTATGTTTAACAAATAAACATAACATAAACAGGTTAAAATGTGTTTCATCTTTAAAACAAATCAGTTGAAATTGTTATACTTCTTTCTCTAAAACTAACAATCTATGAGCTTCAGTTAGCTTTGTTCTGTTGTCAATGACCTGTGATAAAACAAACCTTCCCCACCTCTGTTAGGGTTCATGTGGAAGGAAGCAGAATATTTCACCTGCAACAGATACAATGTTTATTTTGCACATACTGCCGACTTCACGAGAAAGTACGGACATAAATGATAGTCTTAAACACAGTAACATGTTTTACAAGCTTGCATGCATTGTACTAGCAAATAAAACATAAAGAACAAGAAACAAAACAGAAAGTGAATATCGAATCTTCATCCATTTCATATTATGACTGAAACTCAAATGATGGGGAAAATTAAAATGGCCAAAAAATACGGGTTGCTTCTGCAAATTTCATGCTGTCACGAAGAACCGGTGGACTTGAAAGATGAGGGTGCAGATAAGAGAGTCAGGAGAAGTCATGTTGCCAGCCAAGAAAATCGTGTCCTCTTTGTTCTCTGATCTGGCAACAAAGAGAGTTGAAGGACTCATGTTGCCCTGGTAACAGCGGGAGACACTCCCAGACTGCTGATAGGCTCTACCCAGCCCACACACAGTATCACAGGTCCCAACTCTGGCCAAGGACTCTCTGGCCAAAGATTCTCTGGAGCAGAAACATATGGGTTTGACACTCACTTTGGCTTCTTTAGGTGACTTACGGACAGAAGATTTCAGTTCTGCTTCAGAAGAAACAATCCTCAACATTTATTATGATTTCTGTTACAAGTAGATATATAAAAATTACATCTATTGTTGTGAGCTAAATTCCGAGCCCGGCCTGATGACAGCCAAAGTTGTGGTCATTACCTTTATAAATAGTGCTCAAATTTTATGACTTCTGAATAACACCTCTAATTATACACCTCTTGCTTAAATGTTTTGTAATGCCCTTTCTAAAGAAATCATTAATTTTAAAACAGGTATTTAATTTTTATGAAAGGAAAATTAAGAGTGGAAAGAAAAATATCTTCAGAGAGCCCCAGGGGATGAAGCTAATGAGAAATCCCAGAAGTTCAAGTTCAGATGCCCAGAAATGCAGGGCACATTGGAGGGGCAGGAGCATGCACCCCCAGGTGTGGGGTTTCAGCAGCCTGGGGGTCTGAGACTGCCGTGGACTTGTGTGCATGATCTTCATGGCTAACGATGAGGCAAGAGCCAGAAAGGCAAAAGCCCAAAGTAGTCCTTATAAAACTATAGAGAAGACCACATTTGTCTTTGTGACAAACACTTGAACTGTTTCATAGATGCTCATGGCAGACAGCCCTCTATGCTACCAATTTATGCTTCCTATCTCTTCACACTCTCTTTTCTTCAGTGCCTAGATCATTGCTGTCTTACATGGAAGAATGAAAGTATCTAATAATGTAATTCACAGTAAATTACTAATTGAAGAGAAAAAAGCCTCATTAAATATTTATATTTTAAAGGAGGGTCTTAGAAGGCAATGCCTAACCCAAAGGGAACTAAATCTTGGGGAATTTCAGCCAGTGTGGCAGCAATCAGGGAGCTATTTGGGGATAGTAAGGGCATGTTTCCATCCCTAGCCACCATCCCATGTGGTTATCTATTCACCGTGTTTGGTAAAAAGTGATCCATTTTGCCATGGGTCCATCAAAATTATTTCAAAATAGTATCTACAGTATCCAAAAGGACCTTGAACCTGGGTTTCCTCTCTCCTTCAGCCCACTTCTGTTACCTAAACCCTGTGCTTGATTGTAAAATCAAGCACAAGAGAGTCCCAAGGCAAAAGTGGCTACAAAAGTAAACAACTACCTTATATAGATATGGCTTCATGGATATTTAAAGACATAAAAATAATAATCCCCTTCCCCAGTCTGGTCATTCTTGAGCGTTGAAACCACCAAGTCCCCATGCAGTCTGCTTCGTCAGTTTCATGGGACGAGAACTCCCCTCACCAAGGGTGAAGCTCTCCTTGAGTCTACTTTAAGATGGCTTTCTTTTAAATAAATAATTTTTGCTCACTAACTTATGCTTTTCTCTCACTTTTCCCCTTTCCCTTCTGCCACTTACGTTTCTCAGGACAAATGTTGCCTTTCACTTTACTGCCAGCCCCTCCCAACCTCAGGTAAGTGAATGGGTTCCAAGAGTTATCAACATCCTACCCGTTGGTGTTGCCTTCCTGTTAGTGAAACCATGTTACCACGGTAGAGTTAGCACGTGGGGTTGCCCTTGACCTTTCACAACTTGAAGTATATTCGTATTCCACTTTATTCTTTGTGTTATAGGAATTTTAGACATAATATTTAATCATATCACTTTAATAGATATAAAATGGGCAGCATGCTATTTGTTTTCAGGTGTTCCTTGGTTCAACCTTCATTGAGCAAATCGTGTGCCCACTATGCACCAAGAACTTCGTTAGACTGCACCTGGTGCTGGAGACACAAAGATGAAGAACAGAGAGACACAACTTCTGCCATTATGAACCCGATAGCTGGGAAGTGGTAGTGGGGATAGGGAGTAAAAGGCTGACACCAAGCAGATACAGAAACAATTAATTCACCTGGAAATACAATGAAAATAAGACAGATTTTAATGTTTACAATGTTATAAGTGTAATAAATTAGTTTCTCCTCTCATAAAGAAAGAGCCAGAATGTTGACAAAAAATATTAGGAGAATTAGATATTTTTGTTGTGCTCTGCATTAAACCATAACCACAAATAGAATAAATACATGAAAACTTGGATTAAGTCAGGCTGTTTTTCTCGTGTCATTTCTAGTTACCTTCCTTTTTTCTTTCATAAGCTTCTGAAGACAAAACTCTATATAATAGCATGTTTGAAACAAGTTTATTTGTTGTATGTTTTCTTTAGTCTGTAATATAGCTTTGGTCATAAATAGCTACTTAGGTTTTGCTTTGGAGTAGTAAAACTGGGATTAACATGGACTTATTGTAAATATACTACAATCACTGATGTGCTGGTAAATAGTTAACAACTGGTTTTCAGAGAGAAAGCCCTGATTTGTAGTGTTTGCCCATTTCTGTGGTGTAAATACCTCCACTATGGCTGATTTGAAGCTCCCATTGTGATGTCACTGAGAAGTGACTAATGCACCATCAGCTCTCCCAAGCCTGAATGAACCAACCCCCACACATCTTTTAAACTTCCTGTCTGTGAAAGTCTCTGCAATGCATATATACTGCCACCCAGTGGCAGGAGAGGGCCTAAGGCCCTTAATATACCACCCTCAACATTTATTGACTATTTTATTTCAAGAAATATTTTACAAGCGCTAATTACTAGGTGCAAAGAGAGAAACCTAAAAAAACAGGGAGGGAATAACTTTCATTCTAACTGCAGGAATAGTATAGTCTAACAGTCCTGTACAGAGCTATAATAAATATGATATACTGAACAGGTGTGGTGGCTTGCACCTGTAATCCCAACACTTTGGGAGGCTGAGGCAGGAGTATCACTTGAGGCCAGAAGTTCAAGGCCAGCCTGGGCAACATAGCAAGACCTTGTCTCTACAAAAATTTTAAAAATAAAAAATTAGCCGGGCATGGAATCTTGCACGTGTAGCTTTGACTATGCAGGAGGCTGAGGCAGAAAGATCATTTGAGCCCAGGAGGTCAAGACTACAGTGATACATGATTGTGCCACTGCACCCTAGCCTGGGTGATAGTGTGAGACCCTATCTCTGAAAAAAATTTTTTAAATAATTTGCATCTAAACCCCAAACTGGGCTAAAATATACTTAGAACAAACTAATAAAACAAGCCAGGCGCAGTGGCTCATGCCTGTAATACTAGCTCTTTGGAAGGCCGAGGCAGGCGGATCACGAGGTCAGAAGATCAAGACCATCCTGGCTAACACAATGAAGCCCTGTCTCTACTAAAAATACAAAAAATTAGCAAGGCATCGCAGCGGGCGCCTGTAGTCCCAGCTACTCGGGAGGCTGAGGCAGGAGAATGGCGTGAACCCGGGAGGTGGAGTTTGCAGTGAGCCGAGATTGCTCCAGCCTGAACAACAGAGTGAGTCTCTGTCTCAAAAAAAAAAAAAAAAAAACCTAATAAAACAAAACAAGTTCCTTGATATCGATGAAAGTCTTACTTTACTCTTAATTAGACTCATTTTCATCTATATTTTGTATCCTCTTTGACTACAGGAAATATTTTCTTTTTCTCTAAGCTCACCCAAATGATTGCACATTCTCAGATAACTTGTGTCAATCACTGTCTGCCTCTATTCCAGGAGTTAGAAGCAGGTCGCAGAAACTGGGGAGGTAGCCAGGAGCCAGATAGTGATTTTTCAGCCTAAATTCCAGCCATTGCTTTGGGTATTTGTCATTCGCTTCTTTCTGGTAAAGGTGGATTGTCAGGCAGGGGTCAAAAACTTTTATTTGGAGTTTAAGGTAATTTACAGATAAAGTTGTTAATACTTTCAGTGGGTGTTTACTGCTTGCACAAAACCAATTACTATCATATACGGGAACATATATGAGGCTCATTATTGCCAACAGTAATTATAGTAATGCTCTTGAGTTACAAAGTATGGATCGGATCTCCTGGGAAACAAGAACACTCTTGGGAATTCCAGACTCCTCATCTGTTGAAGAGCCCTGTATTATATGTATTTGAGTCAAGTTCCAAAATTAAGTGGGTTCTTGGGGGTATTGCCATCTGTTATAAGGTGTGGATAGACTTCCAACTGCATCATTAATGACACTCCTTAATTCTGAGATAATTTTTCCCCATCAGAAAGCTTTGGATTCTTGAAAAGGATTCCATTTTTATTGTCCTGGTACTCAAAATAGGAGTAGGAAAAAAGATGTTGAAATACAAAGCTAAGTTTTCACTTGTTTTGCCTCTCTGTACATGATAGATTTATTAGAGTCTTATTTGGGAGCCTGTTTCGGTTGCTTTTCTCAAAATCTTCATCACAGGCTTAATATAGCTTCTCAACCAGTTATCATAGTTTATAATTATTTGGCAGAATTCCCTTTTCTTCATCATTAAGAACAAGTTTACAACTTAGAGTTATATTTTTCCAGTGGACTCGTAATCTACATGGGTAAATAGTACAACTTCTTTCAATTAAAAATGTTTCCTAAATCTGGTGTTATTTGAAAAATACTTTTAAAAGACACCTCAACCTGCCCAAAATTGTGAACATATTTCTGGGGACTCTACATGGGACTTGATCTTTGAATCTCTGTATGTTCTCAGTAGATCCCAGCCAGCAACAAGTTTCCTGATCAAAAGGGCAAAGGGGAGGATGAGTCTAGTGCAAATTCTTGCCTATGGGAAGGTGGTTAAAATTGTTGAAAAACAGGCTTATCTGCTTTTCAGCATGGAGTTTTCACGTCACACTGACCACACAGAAGTGAATCTTATCACATGTTATGTCTCACTTATCCTTAATTCGAAGGGGGCAGGATGCTTCTTAAACAGGAAACAAAATTAATGACTATTTCTTTTACCCTAGAAAAAGAAATAGCAACATTGCATAAAATGGCTGTTTTGTCTTGTTTACTGCTATATTCTTAATGCCTGGCACACAGCCCTGCACAGATTTAGTTGCTCATTATGTATGAGATGAAGAGCTAACTGAACTCATTAATGGAAATTCACTGAGATTTACATATAAATTTTGTGCCTAATAGAGGAAACAATCCCATTCATGTAAATATAAATCGTGTCTTTCTTTTTCTTATTCTCAGTATTTTCTATACAAGTTTCCCAAAGACGTGGACTCAGTTGTCATTAAAGTGGTGTCTGAAATGGCTTATCCATGTTCTGTTGTCTCAGTCCAGAATATCATGGTGAGTGCTGGTAACTTCCCAACCTTCTACTATAGAGCATTATATTATTCCAAAACAAATGAAAGAGAAGGGTGCGAAGCATGCCATCCTCTTACTGGGTATCTCCCTTCCAAAACTACTAAACAGTACGAACAGTATCTATGAGTACGAGTGGGCAGACTGTGTTTGCAGACACTAATTTGGAGAGGTAAAGAATAGTTAAGTCTTCACCAAAATCAATAAAGCAAAGAAGGAAAGGAGGGAGGAAGCAGGGAAGGACTGTAACAAAGAACCAGGAAGACCAAGTTGTGGGCTCCACAAGAAAACTAAAATTGAACCCTACCATTTGTTCTCTTTTTAAATTTTTATTGTAACATTGGGTTCTTTCTGTCTCCTGAGATGTTAATGAAAATTGAAAAAAGTGTTATACACTTTAAGACAATAGTTTTATAGTTCTCTTCAATATAACGTGACTTTGACTTTAGAGGACGAGGCCCCAAGTCTTCGGAAGACTATGTCATGACTGTTCAAGGGGGAAACTTTACCTGTTTCTGGTTAATAAGGATTCCCTGCTCTGTGATCCAAGCAGAAAGATGCTGACAGGACCTATGTGTGGCAGGACATTGCATGACATTATGTATGCTTTCCTTTTTATTCCTCATGCATGCTGCAGTGCCCGGTGTATGATCTTGACCACGATGTGGAATTTAATGGTGTCTATCAGTCCATGACTAAGAAAGCTGCCATCACACTACAGGTGAGACATTGTTTCTGTGGGCATTGTTGCCAATGATAATGCTCAATAGATAGTCAGTGTACTGACTGAGCCAGCATCCTAAAGGGATGGCCATCCATGATGTGCCTAGGATCTCCTTCCTTTCTGATTGGTTTAAAAACTAGTATGTCTGGCCAGGCGCAGTGGCTCATGCCTGTAATCCCAGCACTTTGGCTGGCCGAGGCAGGAGGATCACCTGAGGTCAGGAGTTCAAGACCAGCTTGGCCAATATGGCAAAACCCAGTCTCTACTAAAAATACAAAAATTAGCTGGGTGTGGTGGTGCACCCCTGTAATCCCAGCTACTCAGGAGGCTGAGGCAGGAGAATCGCTTGAACCCAAGAGGCAGAGGTTGCAGTGAGCCGAGATCACACCACTCCACTCCAGCCTGGGCAACAAGAGCAAAACTCCGTCTCAAAAACCAAACAAACAAACAAACAAAACGATTTATGTCTATGCCTGAAATTTAAAAAAAAAAAAAAAAAAAAGTCACTTTCTCACTGGGCTGAACATGACACCAGAAGTTTGGGGATGATTCTTTTTTTTAAAGACAGGGTTGTAGAACTATAATGGACCTTAAAGTTCATATTGTCAACCGCACTTCATTCATGGATGAGGAAATGGGCACATAGAGAAACACATTTAGAGTAACTCAAAGCCAAGATGATAACTGAGTCCTTTGCCTCCCTAACCTAAATTATTTATTCAACTGCTGAGTGTGTCAATTTTACAAAAGTTATTTATCATTAGATTCTAAAATAAAAACTTAACATGTAAGCATTAGTTATTAAACATAGGCTATACACATATTATTTGTATGGTGCTTATTAAAGTTCTAAGCACTCAAATAAGCACAAAATTGATTGAAATCAGAAATGTATATCTATTTACCTTAATTTCTTGGATATAACAATTATCTCAGAGTGGATAATCTGGAGTTGATCACAGGTATGTGAAAGTCCTTTCCAAGGAGTTAGAGGGCAGGGGTGAACTTTATTTTTCTTCTCTTTCCTCTTTCTTTCTGCCCCCACCCCCAGGGACTTTCTCCCTTCTAGCTCTTTCCTACTGCCTATCATAAGGTTGTTATGTCTTACGCAGAAGAAGGATTTTCCAGGCGAGCAGTTCTTCGTGGTATTTGTGATAAAGCCTGAAGATTATGCCTGTGGAGGATCTTTCTTCATCCAGGGTAAGAGCTAGTGAGGAACACTTGGCTACTTAGAAAAACCTGAAGGAAGGGAGTGAAAGGGAAGCTGAAACCTCCTTCTAGTTCCCACTAAGCAAGGGTTGGTTCCATCAGTATGACTGGGAAAGGCATCTGAGAGATACTTGAGAAAAAAAACAAAAGATAGAAAGTAACAGATCTAAAGGTATTATTGATACTACAAAATGTCATTTAGTGCATTTCATCTTTTTGAAGCATTGTATTCCCTCAGACCATGGAAGATAAGTTCACTCCGTTGGCCCTTTACTCAACAAATATTTGCTACCACGAAGTAATGATCTTACACAGCGATCAAAGTACATTTCCTAAGATGGGGTGGTAGCCGGTAGCCGTGTAGCTACTTACATTTATCAGTAGTCATCATTTCCACAATGATGGACAAGAAAAATTCAGCATTCTCCATCTCAGTTGCCAAAAATTTTACCTTGAAAAATAGTAGGAAAGCCAACTGCAACAACTTATCCCAATAATAAGGGGTATGGGAGCTCTTAGGCATAGTACAGATAGTTATGGTTAACTACCCAGTAGCTACCTTAAGGGCAGAATAGGCTGATGATTGAAAACGTAGACCACTAGCCAGTGATTAACCACATGTGACCAACACAAAGTGTGTTTACTGTTGATTGTAACATCATTTCCTTGGTATGAATGTTTAGGTGAAATTTCTCCTAGTATGTTCTTTAACCACTTAATTACATGGCTCCAAAATTTTGCCAATGTCAAATATTCCTTGGTAAACTACAAGCCCTTTCATGACTATATAAGAGGGAAAAAATTGTACTGGCTAGAAACATACAAACCAAAGGAAGAGGTAGCTTCTGTTTTCACAGCTGTTTTCTTCACATGTCTGTGGATATCAGGGGAAGGGTCCACCCCTCTTCACTGGAGAAGGGAGGCTGCAATCTTTTTGCATCTGTTAGTGATACCAAAATGCACACAAGCAAAGGCCAAATTGAGAGTCTAATGCTAGCCTCCTTCACCAAAAGGGATTTCAGATGGTTTGAAGGTTTGGGGGTTAGATATTCCTCCAGTTCTTGCTAAAATAAGATTCAGCAATCAGAGTTAATTCTGGACATTTTTTGAACAATCGTTGAGACAAGAGACCCAAAAAATCATTATCTGATTCATTGTGCTTATTGTGCTTTGTTCTTTTTTTATTTTTTTTTAAACCAGAAAAGGAAAACCAGACCTGGAATCTACAGCGAAAGAAGAACCTCGAAGTGACCATTGTTCCTTCCGTTAAAGGTCAGTGTTGGCTCCAGAATGCATCGGAGAGATTCCTGTGTCAGAAAATCAGTCATATCATTTGATATTACTGTCATCCTTCCAGAGAGAATTGTCATAAGAAAAGTAAAGTGTATTTACCTTAAAAATAGAAAAGGGAATCAGAGCATTTTGTTACATCCCTCCTAAAAACAAAGGGACCTCAATCATGAAGTTGTAGACAGGCAGTCCCTTCCCAGCTTCTACTGGGAAGTCATCACTGTGAAAGGTAGCTACTGTGGATAATGTCTGGGGACCTCCAGTAGCAGTTTTGCTATGAATAAAAATTTCTTAGGACTTAAGAATCAACATGATGGAGGGCGGCCCTTTAAGCTGTCCTGTCTCAGACAGAGTCTTCTTTTCTGCAGAGGACGACCTGACCAAAGTTGTTTCTCTCCCTTCAGAATCTGTTTATGTGAAATCCAGTCTTTTCAGTGTCTTCATCTTCCTGTCCTTCTACTTGGGATGCCTGCTTGTTGTGTTTGTTCATTATCTGAGGTAGGTCAATCACTTCCAGAAATGTTAATCCCCTGTGCCTGTCTCTGTGTAACGCTTGGAGCGCAGACTTGACAGCCATATTGACTGGCTTCAAATCTCCCTCAGCCACTAGCGGTGTGACCTTGGATACCTCGTGACCTTGGAGACGTTGCTCAACTCCCTGTGCTTCAGTTTCCTCATCCGTAAAATGAGATAATAATTTACCCCACAAAATGTACAACTGCGGTGTTTATATCAATAACACACAGGTGTTGATATATATAATAGGTGCTGGTAGAGTGTCAGTTATTTTCCTAGTTAATTAAAACTCAACAAAAAGGCAACATGTATATTTTTTAGACCAGAAAATACTCACTGTAGATGGTCAGTTTTTCCTAACATGTAGATTTAGAAACAGCTTTAAACATTCTATCAAAAAGTAAATGTAATGCCTAAAATAAATTTTGAGGTGCAACAAAAAGCAGGAGTAATGTTCTTTGATACAACATTACCAAGTGTTTTCCTGCTATTGTAGCATAGATTTTCCAGTAAAATGTCCCTTGGGGGGAAAAAGGAGGTAATTGTGCTGTAATTTGACCAAGGAAATTTCCCTTGCCAAGAGTTTGGAGCCCCTAATGACACAGGGCTTTCCTTCCCTCTCTCAGCGGGGTTGAACCTTGAGAATTCCGTTCTTTGTGGCGCTCTCTATGAAACAGCTACAAAAGAATGGCAGGAGATTTACAATAAACAAATGTTCTTTCTCTTCTTGAACAAGTAAAGAAAACAAAGCCAGCATGGAGTTTTGAGACTATTTGCAAAATGAACTCCATCCACGGAAAGATTTCATGGCTACCTCAGTGATACAACTACGTATCTTAAGAATATGGGTCTATCTCTGACTCAAAAAAAACTGCCTCGATGACCTGTATGAAACTTTTGAGTTCAGATATTGCCTTCAAACACAGTAGATGACTGCTGGCCAAATCTGGGACAATTTGAACACCAAAATTATTAAGAATAATGAATTATAGACCATTGGAAAAAATAAAAATGTCTGAGTCCCTGTTGATAAAGGAAGGAAGGGCCTAAACACCTGTGGATACACATTCAGCGATTCAACAAATTTACGAAAACAGCTACCCATTTGGTAAAGGAGCCATTAGCAGATACTGGTAGTAGAAGGGAGAAAGAACTCTTGACTACAGCAAAATGACAAAAGCTGGCTGGTAAATATGGAGGAGTGCCGGAGTTGGAAAATCATCATTTTGCAAATATCATGTTAAAGACTAGATTTGCTTCAGAATCATCGATGAATGTCAAATCTAACATGCAGAAATCTGATGAGGATGAAGATGTGTGCATGGCCTTAAAGTGTATCCTCACAAATTGCTTAGTAGTTAAAGTGGAAAAAATAGTAGATATACAGTAAGAAATCAAGCATATTGACAGGGTGATCAAAATTAATATCACCAAGGAGAAGATGGACATTCTGTGCCTCCAGATGTGACACTCTGAGAAGGACACAATGTCACTTTTGCACCATTCCAGAAATGCATATTTGGAATCTAACCATGTGGAAAAATCAGACAACCTCCAACAATAAACATTCCATTAAAATGTGTCATAAAAGACAAAGAAAATTTATAAAAGTATTCCAGATTGAAGGAGACTAAAGATATGTTACAACTAAAGACAATACCTGATCTCAATGAGGATCTTACATTATACTAAGCAGAAAAATATACAATAAAATATATTATTGAGTCAATTGACAAAACTGGAATACAGATAGTAGATTAGATAAGAATATCACATCAATGTTAAATTTGTGAATTTGATAACTGTATTGTGGTTATGTAAGAGAATATTTTTTTGAAATATTTAGGAATAAAAGTTCAGGTCTTGGTTGTATGCAAGTTACTTTCAAATGGTCCAGGGAAAAAAGTGTGTATATATGTGTGTGTGTGTATCTTGATACGTATATATCATATATATTACATCTTTATGGAGAGAGTGAGAATGATCAAAGCAAATGAGGTAATAAGCTAACAATTGGTTGAATCTATTTAAAGGGTATATTGGTATTCTGTGTTCTTATTCTTGCAACTTCTCTATAAATCTGAAATTATTTTCAAATAAAAGTTAAAAACAAAACCACCAGGCTACAGGTGAATATTATACCTGGAAAGTATACATTAGCTGTTTAGCAGCTCACTTAATTTATCAAATCAGAGTTACTAATATTTAGCAGGTACTTGCTGTGAGCCAAGCATTGTGCTCTAATTAGCTTCTTCTTGATGTTTGCTTACAAACTCCTTTTAGTGTCACACTCTTCCATTCACTGAAAGAAAGCAGCGTATGATACATTTGAAAGAAAGCATGGTTCCATTTGCCTTTCATGGCAAGCGCTCTAAGTAGATTATCTCATCTGATGCCCCCCAACAGTGGGTACTATTATTATCACCAAGTGACAGTTAAGGAAATTGAGGCACAGAGGGATTAAGCAATTGTAACAAGAATTCACAGCCAGTAAATGAAGGAGCTAGGATTTGAACTCAAGCAGTCTGGATCCAGAGCCTTAGGCCTGAAGCAGGCTGATCAAAGTGGGTCTAGAGTGGTCAAGCCCTATGAGAGATGACAGTGCTGACCAAGAATGCCAGACCAAAAGCCTGGCACCCCAGCAAGGATCTAAGTTGAAAAGGGTCCAAAACGCTTCCAATTTTGCCTTGGATGAGTTCCAATATCATGGAAAGAAGTTCCTCTGTTATGCCTCTCATAGGAAGACTGTCTCTACTCCTGATGTTTTAGATTTTAAAAAACTGGAGTGTTCCTTTTTAGTTAGCTAGTATGCATAGTTAACATACAAACAGACAAGTTAAGCTAATAGCTGGTTATCAATCGCTCTAAAGTTGTTATTTAGCCAACTAAGGCAAGCAGGTTTTCTAAGCTGTGGTATAAGGCTCTATGGAAACTTCTAGCCACAGATTATTTTGCTACAGTCAAATGCACAGCTTAGATTTCTCCAAATATAGACAAAGTGGAAATAGAAATGCCAAATGTAAGAACTATTTGGCATTCTAAATAGAAGAATAGACTGAGGGAAAAAATGCTCTAATTGGAGAACTTTTCCTTCATTAACTAAGCAAAATAACAAAGTTTTCTGTAAAACCATATGAAGCTAGTCATCTCAGGATAATGCCAGTTACTTGATGAGTCCCTTAAACCCTATTACGAGTACCTATGGAGTTTGTAGTACATGCTATGAGATCAGGATAAAAAACATTGATTAGAGACATGGCCCCTGCCATCAGGGAGGTAAGAATCCAAAGCATCTTCATACTGTATTAGCCTGAAACTAAACACTATTCCCTTCCCATCCTCCAGCCTCAGTCCATTCAACATGTGTTTATGAAGTCCCCCACGATGAATGTGCAGGTCCTGGGCCAAGCACTGCATACTTGTTCTCTTATTTGTTCTTCACAATCACATTGCCAGACATTGAATCCAAACTGCCCAATCCAGAATACTCATCCTTCCCTTTGATTCTTGTATTCGTTATCTATTACCACACTAATGCTACAATTTATTTTTTTATTTTATTTTATTTTATTTTTTTTTTTTTGGAGATGGGGTCTCTCTCTCTCACCCAGGCTGGAGTGCAGTGGCGTGATCTCGGCTCACTGCAAGCTCCACCTCCTGGGTTCACGCCATTCTCCTGCCTCAGCCTCCCAAGAATGCTACATTAAAAAAAAAAAAAATCTGTGGCACACAGCAAAACATGTTAAAGCTTGCTCACAAATCTATGGGTCAGCTGGATGGTTCTGCTAATCTGGGCTGAGCTGAGAGATCCCAGGAGGGTGTGATCAGAGAGTGTGGTCCACTGGCAGATCAACTAGGAGCTAGCTCTTCTGGGCTGACCTCAGCTGCACTTGTCTGTCATCCTGAAGCAGGCTAGCTGGGGCTTATTTGTCTCCAAGAGAGACAGCAGAAGAGTGCAAGCCCTCCTGAAGATGCAGGTTCAGAATTAACACAATGTTACTTCCCCCTCATTCAATTGGCCAAAATAAGTCATGAGGGTAGTCTAGATTCAAGAAACGAAGATGTAGACTCTACCTTTTGGTTGAAGGAGCTGGATACAAGGTGAGGTACAGCCATTTTGCAATCAATCTAGCACAGCCTTCATTTGCTATTTTTTCCTTTATTCACTAGATACCACCTGCCTTATCTTAGCTTTGTAAATCATTTAACTCCTCTAATGAAAAATTTTGTCAGTTCCAAAATCTAGTGCAATCATGGGTAAAGCCTCTTAATACAAACACATAATCAAAACATCATTTTCTATAAGTATATACAATTGCTTTCCAGTCAGTTGTTAACTAAAATTGTTAAAAAGGAACTTCACTACAGCCTTATTTGCCAGTTATGAGAGTCAAGCCAAATCACAACTTCCCTCCCTTTTTTTTTTTTTTTTTTTTTTTTTTTTTTTTTTTTTTTTTTTTTTGAGACAGAGTTTCACTCTGTCACCCAAGTTGGAGTGCAGTGGCACGATCTCAGTTCACTGCAACCTCCACCTCCTGGGTTCAAGCAATTCTCCTTTCGCAGTATCCTGAGTAGCTGGGACTACAGGCGCGTGCCACCACGCCTGGCTAATTTTTCTGTTTTTAGTAGAGACAGAGTTTCACCGTATTGGTCAGGCTGCTCTTGAATTCCTTACCTCAGGTGATCCACCCACCTTGGCCTCCCACAGTGCTGGGATTACAAGCGTGAGCCACTGCACCTGACCAACTTTTCTCCTTAAAGATATGCATCATTCATTCAACAAATATTTAGTGATCATCTATGTGCCAGCTATACCCTAGAAGTTGGAGATATATTATAGTGAATGAAACAGTATATATCTCTGCTGTGATAGAGCTTACATTTTAGAGGGAAGAAATATACAAGCAAGTAAGCAATTAATAAAGAAAATCATTCCAGGTACTGACGGAAAAAACACATTGGTATGATAAAGAACGATTGGATTGGAGAAGCTACTTTCGAGTAGATTTGGTTGGCAGGGAAGGTCTCTCATAACCAAGACCTGAATGGCAAGAAGGAGCCAGCCATGGAAGGATCTGGAGAGTGAGTGACTCAGGTTGAGAACAGAAGCCAAGGCCCCCTGCCATTCAGGAATTTGGTATGTCTAGGCACAAAAGAGCTATGAAGAGAAGTTCTGCAACCAAACATACCAAAATCAGGATCTGCAACTTCTAGAGTTCCCATCTGGAAGTAATAAGAGAATGTACCAAAACACAGGCATTTCTGGTCCCCAACTTTCCTCTCACACCCTCCAACTTCATTTGGAGAGAATAATTCACATTTTAATTCTTGATGGACATTCCCAAATGGTATAGTTTGTTTGTTAATAATGACTTTATTGAGATATAATTCATAGACCATAAAATTCACCCCTCTAAAGTATACAATTTTGTGATTTTTAGTATATTCACAGTTGCATAACCATCCCATGATCTAATTCAGAAGGTTTTCATCATTCCAAAAAGAAACTCCGAGTTTAACAAGATTGCATGAGATCAATATACAAAAAATCATTTGTATTTCTCTACATTAGCAATGAGCAATCCAAAAATAAAATTAAGAAAACAATTCCATTTACAAAAGCACACAAAATAATAAAAGATTTTGGAGTAAATTTAACAAATTCAGTGTAAGACTTGTACATTGAAAACTGCAAAACATCATTGAAATAAATTAAAGGAGATTTAAACAAATGAAAAGACATCCCATGTGCATAGACTGGAAGATTTAATATTGCTAAGATAATGCAGCAGATAGAATAATGGTCCCCAGAAGGTGTCTATGTCTAATCTCTAGAACCTGTGAATATGTTACCTTACATGGCAAAAAGAACTGGTAGATGTGACAAAGTTATGAAGATTATCTTGGATTATCTACGTGGACCTAAGGTAATCACAAGAATTCTTATGAAGGAGACAAAAAGGTCAAAGGCAGAAGAAGGAAATGCGACAAAGGAAGCAGAGGTTGGAATGATATACTTTGCAGACGGAGGAAGGGGCCATGAGTCAAGAAATGCAGGCTGCCTCTAGAAGCTTGAAAGACAAGAAAATGAATACTCCCCTGTAGCCTCCAGAAGTACAGGCCTGCTGACACCTTTATTTTAGCCATACAAGGCACATTTTGATATTCTGACTCCCAGAACTGTAAGATAATAAACTTGTATTGTTTTAAACCACTAAGTCTGTGAGTTCGTTACAGCAGCAGTAGGAAACTAATATACTTCACAATACTCCTCAAATTAATCTACAAATTCAACACAATCCCTTGCAAAGTCCCAGCTGGCATTTTCACAGAAATTGACAAACTGATCCTAAAATTCATATGAAAATGAAAGGGACCCAGAAGCCAAAACAATCCGGAAAAAAAAAGAAGAAAGTTGAAGGATTTGCACTTTCTGATGTCAAACTTATTACAAAGTTGCAGTCATCAGGATTCTGGTACTGACATAAAGAAAGACATATGGGAGTCTGAGGCAGGAGAATGGGGTGAACCCAGGAGGCAGAGCTTGCAGTGAACCAAGATCACACCACTGCACTCCAGCCTGGGCGACAGAGCAAGACTCTGGAGATGAAAGACTGTTTTTGCTATACAGCCACTGTCGAAAACAATTTGGAAAAAAAGTTAAACATAGAGTTATCTCATGCTCAACAATTCCACTCCTAGCTATATACCCAGGATAATTGAAAACATATGTCCACACAAAAACTTGTACACAAATGTTCATAACAGTGTTACTCATGACAGCCAAAATATGAAAACAACCAAAATATCCATTAAGTGCAAGCATGTCAATGAAAGGTGGTATATCCATACAATGGAATATTATTCAGCCATAAAAAGACTGAAGTACTGATACATACTACAGCATGGATGAACCTTGAAAACATTATATTAAGTGAAAGAAACTAGACACAAAAGTTCGCATATAATGTGATTCATTTTTAATGAAATGTCCAAAATAGGCAAACTTATAGAGACAGAAAGTAGATTAGTGTTTTCCAGGGGATGGGGAGTGACTGGTCATGGGTTTGAAATTTCTTCTGGAGATGATGAAAATATTCTAGAATTCAATAGTGGTGGGAGCTATACAACTTTGTGAATGTATTTGATTGGTGTGAAAGTAATTGCCTTTTTGCCATTATTTTTGAAAGCAAAATCACAATTACTTTTGCACCAATCTAATATTAAAACTCACTAAATTATGCACTTTAAAGGGTGAATTTTATGGTATGTGAATTACATCTGAAAACTGATGAATGAATAAAGGATGTATATGACTGAGAATGAAAGTGCTGGGATATATGGTAACTCTGTTTAACTTTTTGGGAAACCGACAAACTGTTCCAAAGTGACTGCACCATTTTATATTCCCACCAGCAATGTATCAGAGTTCCAATTTCTCCATATCTAAACACATGTGTTTTTTTGTTGTTGTTTGTTTTTTTTTTCTTTCTTTTTTTTTTTTGAGACAGAATCTCACTCTGTCGCCCAGGCTGCAGTGCAGTGGCATGATCTCAGCTCACTGCAACCTCTGCCTCCTGGGTTCAGGCAATTCTCCTGCCTCAGCCTCCCAAGTAGCTGAGACTACAGGCGCCCACCATCACACCCAGCTAATTTTTGTATTTTTAGTAGAGACAGGGTTTCACTATATTGGCCAGGCTGGTCTCGAACTCTTGACTTTGTGATCCGCCAGCCTTGTCCTCCCAAAGTGCTGGGATTACAGACGTGTGCCATCGCGCCTGGCCCCAAAGACATGTTTTGAAGAGACCCTAGTAGACAAATCTGCAACAAAATCTATAAGGAACAAATGTAAAATGCTGAGGTTTTCGCTGTCTTAGGAGCATGTGTATGTGTTTGTTTGCAGGTTTCACAGAAAATCCACTGATGGAAGCTTTGGGTCCAGTGATGGTAAGAGCAATGCTTGGTTTCAATTCAAAATGGTGTCACATAGTGTGGCAATATCCCATTTCATCCTTCTTTTACCTCTCTGCCTTTTGCAATTTACAAACCCTCCCTTGATTCCTATCCCACAGAGTAATCTAGCCTGCAGTTGGAAAGCAGAGCTAGTGAAAACCAATTCTATAGTTCAAGGGGTCCCAAACCCTAGGCCGTGGACTGGTACTGGTCTGTGGCCTGTTAGGAGCTGGGCTGCACAGAAGGAGGTGAGTGGCAGGCGAGTGAGCATTACCACCCAAGCTCTGCCTCCTGTCAGATCAGTGACAGCATTCGATTCTCATAGGAGAGCAAACCCTGTTGTGAACCGTGCATGCGAGGGATCTGAGTTGTGTGCTCCTTACGAGAATCTAATGCCATAACCCATTCCCACCCCCGTCTGTGGAAAAATTGTCTTTCATGAAACCAGTCCCTAAATGTTGGAGCCAAAAATGTTGGAGACTGTTGCTGTAGTTGATAATTATTGAGACGTGGAGGTCACACTAAAAACCTTTACTAGGAGTGTCCCTTGTAATCACAGACCTTTGGTCAGCCATTCATCTTTTTTAAAAGTTTCACCTTTTCTAGGACATCATTGTTCCTACCTAATTCATACATAATTGTTCATATCCCAAAGCTGATTTGTGAACAACAGTAAAAAGGTATTGTGCCAACTCTAATACAGAGTTTACTTTTCCCAAACTGAAATGGAGGCTTTTTTAACTGTCTAGAAAACTGAAATACTTGACACTAGCAAGTATAATAAAGAGTATAATAACTTGGGGGAATCCAGAGTAATTGACTCTCCAGTGATCGTACTACACCTTTTCCTCCACTCTGAGAGTTTGAACAAAGGAATTCAATGACCTGATCTTTTTAACAAACTTGAAAATTTAAATGTCCTCATTTTTGAAAGACCTAAACTCAGTGTTCACAAGTTATTAGGCACAGAGCAAGAATTTGGTTAAAAAGGAATATGAAGTGGAACTTGGTTTTTAAGTCATACATAGCAGATATTTAGGTGTGTGTTTGCCACACTTAAATGAGGTCACAGAATCTTAGAAAGAGTCAAACTCACCCACTACACCCCTCCAACAGGATGATTGCTCCCTTTGCTGGAGAGTTTGCTCTTTTTTTTTTTAATGTTTGTCTTCCTTAATGTCAGCATGTCTGTTTTTCCAGCCACCCAAGCACTTTGTTTTATAAACATTCAGCTGTCAGTGTAAAAGACTGTAAAAGAACACCTGCTCTCACGACTTTAAAATTCTAAATGCTCCTCTCCCTTTTAGTCATCAAATATTTAAATGAATTTGTCTGCTCTCTGGATCTCATCTTTTTTCCTACAGTGTCTCCGGGCTTTGTGATTAGTTTAGGCCTAGTTGAACTTAGGCTTACATCCAATCGATTGAATCCCATTGGGTAGCCTGTGAATGGATAATCTGTTATTTTTTATTGTATGAGTAAAGTCATTTTATTACAATAATATGTATTAAAGGAATTCTGTATTCAGAAGGGTCTGCTGAACATTGAAGCATAAGTGGACAAAGTTGGGACTTGAGCCAGATCATTGTCCAGGTTCAGGGAGGCTCTGAAAATTATCTAAGTGCTGGAGGTACCCTTCTGATGGTAAGCGGAAACACATGAGTGAGCAGAAAGAGTAAAGATGCATCGTTAAGATTCATGTGGGTGTAAGTAACAACAGTAACAAGAAAAAAAAATACCTCAAACATGCTTAATCAAGAAAGAGACTCCTAGCTCTGGAAGTTGAGCCAAAATATGTACTTCAGGATTGATGAGTCCGGTGGCTCTGGTCCATTTCCCTGCCATTCCCTTGGCTTCAATTTACTCCCAGGGCTGGCAGTGAGATGGGTCAAGGCTCACACCTTCACCTGACAACACCAGAGGGAAGGAACTTTTCAGAAGCCCTCAGCAACTTCTTGTGTTTTATTGGCCTAGAGTGAATCATACACTTATTGTTAAACCAGTCACTGCAAAGAACAGATTTACCTACGCATCAGACAAACCTACTTTTAGAATTAAGGTTAGGTCCTCTTCTTTAAGACCAGAGTTTCTCAAACTCAATATTATTGACATTACCGGCCAGATACTTATTTGTTGTTGGGGGCTATTCCATATCTTATAGGATGTTTAATAGCATCCTTCACCTCCACGCACTAGATTCTAGGAGTTGCCCTTCCTTAGGACAACTAAAAATGCCTCCAGGCTTGGCGCACTGGCTCATACCTGTAATCCCAGCATTTGGGGAGGCCGAGGTGGGAGGACTGTTTGGGCTTAGGAGTTCGAGACCAGCCTGGGCAACATAGTGAGACTTTGTCTCTATAAAAACAAATAAACAAAATTAAGCGGGCACGGTGGTGCGCACCTGTGCTCCAGCTACTTCGGAGGCTGACGTGGGAGGATCACTTGAGCCCAGGATGCGGGGCTGCAGGGAGCTGAAATCGCATCACTGCACTCCAACTTAGGTGACAGAGCAAGACCATGTCTCGGGAAAAAAATGCCTCCAGACATTGCCAAATGTCTTTTTGGGGGCAAAACTGTTTCCCCACCTCCCCCTGTTTGAGAACCATGGACCTAAACACATGAGGACACCTAAATAAGAAGCCAGCTTAGGTAGGAAGTAGGGAATAGGAATGTTCACCACAAAGGGCTTTGAAATAGAAAGAAAATAAGGAACCTTTGTAATGTAGAGAGGCCACAGGGAATGATGGCATCGCCCCCAATGTCGTGACCACTGGTGAGTCAAGACCTAGACGCTTAAACCAAGAGCAGAAGACAAGCCCTGCCCAAGGGAAGAACCAGTGACTTTTTCAGGCATCTCAAACAGAGCATCGAGAAACCAGCCAGCAGCAAGAGACAGAGGCAAGTAAGGACCATATATGGAAGCTAATGAGAGACATTCAGGGAAGAAACAAGGATACAGAAATGTCTTTCTCTCCCAAAGCCAGGATCAGCGTGACCATGGGGCACAGGAAGTTCAACAGAGCTCAGAGTTACAGGAAATGCCTTGGGTGCTTATGTCCAGAGAAAATGCTAGAAGCAGCTTCTGAAAGGGGAAGAGGATCCCACTAGACTTAATATGGTGTCTGCCCACATCATTGTGGAGCTAGATATCTACGGAACTTAGCTTAGTGCTTTCACCTTAGACGTGACTGAAGTGGAAGAAATGGAATCAGGTCCCTACAGGTTGCCAAATTGGTGGCAGCTCTTTTGGAGTTAGGAAGGATGCACTCAGAAAATCTGTGGGCTACTCCGCATTTGTTTTTCTTTGATATGCCTGCAATCATTTGATTAAGCTGTATGTGAAAATCTCGATGTTGGCTCCAACTATACTAAAAAGCAAAAGAATGTATTTCATACTTCGTGTGATGAAGAAGATTAGACCTTGGAGCCTGGGTGAGATGGAAATAGTGTTGGCAAAGAGCTGCTCCAGGGGACTTGCAGGGACTTTTTTACTGTACTATGAATGACTGGACCCTGCATTGTCTAATCATCACCTAGTACCAAAGACAGGGCATCTGTGAGAATCTTAGAGAATCTATGAAAGGCTCTGTGCTGTAAAAACGTTTCTTCCACTGGCTTTATCAGAGAGAAACCCCACATTTCAAATAATTGTTAAAGAGCCTCTACAGAAATTCAGTTACCAACTGAGAAAAATAATGAAGCTTCCCCAACAGGCCTCTGGGACCCCTTGAGCTGCCACCAGGAACTGGGGGTGCAACAGAAGAGAAGATTACTTTCTCAAATGGAAGAGCTTGACAAGCCTAATCGGTTGTAGATTTAAGAACCAAATGGCCAACCCAATCCTTCCCTGGATAGAGCCATTACTGAATCAGCCTCTTAGCCAAGAGCAAGATCTGGTGGAGATAAGACAAGGAGAGTGTTGAACGTGGAGGACTCAAGGAACACAGGCCGTTTAGTGGCCAGGGGTCTCAAATTCTATTCCTACATCTCTACTCTTCTTTTTCCAGTTTTCTTGTTCAACTTTTTCTTCTACAGGAATTTTACTTTTACATCCATCTGCAAAGATGATGGTTTCCTTCATTTTTTCTTCAACTATTGAAACAAAACGTGACACTAAGTTGGGATAGGTAGGAAACTGGCATAAAAATAAAATTTGGGCCGGGCATGGTGGCTCACACCTGTAATCCCAACACTCTGGGAGGCTGAGGCCGGGGGATTGCCCACAGTCAGGAGATTGAGACCATCCTGGCCAACATGGTGAAACCCCGTCTCTACTAAAATACAAAATATTAGCCCTGCGTGGTGGCGTGTGCCTGTAGTCCCAGCTACTCAGGAGGCTGAGGCAGGGGAATCACCTGAACCCGGGAAGCAGAGGTTGCAATGAGCTGAGATCGTGCCACTGCACTCCAGCCTGGCGCCAGAGTGAGACTCCATCTCAAAAAATAAAAATAAAAATAAAAAATAATCATGCCCGCTAGTTCCCATCATTTCTGACTCCGTCTTCAGCTTCCAACCTGCTGAGTCTTCAGAGACAGAATGGGACAAGGCAACTAAAAATATGAAGTCCCTGAAAGACGCAAACATGCTCAAAATGAAATGAAAATTTTCTCCTCACATAGGGCATTTAACATAAAAAGCAAGCATGCAAGCATATCCTGTTCTATGTCAGTGAAGTAGACAGATGCAGGGGGCTCAAGCTCAGAGAAACACATATCAAAACAAGTTTCCTCATTCGGATGAGATCATTCACAATCGTATGTATCTGCTATTTCCAGCCAGAACATCTCAATCTGTCCTATAAGTTGATATTTTATGTTGAATTCTGCTTTCTATACAGTTAAATATAGATATGGTTTGCCTTCCCAGACCATACTTGACGTTTAGAAGGAAATGCCTTGGTTTTTGCATTCTTAAAAGGCTTTAGACATAAGCAAAATGAAAAGAATACTGTTATCCCATGTTGGCCAATCTCATATTTAAATGGTGCATATGAAAGTCCACAGAGTGAAAACACTTTTGCATGCTGGCAATGGCATTGCACATGAAAATCTTGGTGCTCCTGTCCGTCACAGAACCCATGATGCTGCAGCTGCCTCAAAATGAGCAGAGCCAGCAACGACATCAAAACCAGATCGTGCTCAGTGATGAGCCAGAACAGAAAACAGAAATCAGTGATTCATTAAAGTCTGAACAGACCTACACAGCTGGCTTTGTCTTTTTAGTAAATTTGTCACCTAACAAAACAGTGATTGTTTTTGTTTGTTCACTTGCTTTGATTTTAGTTTTTGGTTTTTGTTTTTCTTTTGATTACACACACACAGAGAACATTGGCTCCCACGAACCATTTCGACCTCCTGCTACAACTGAACTCCAGCATTTTCCTACACACACTTCTACTTCCTATATCAGAGGACTTCCAGTGACACCAAAATGCACTATGTGCATGTAATATCAAAACATCATGTTGTACATCCTAATATATACAATTAAAAAATCTTTTTGTATAAAAACAAGTTTTCACTGAGACCAATACAATGAATTACTATCCATCCCCTATCTGAGTGACTGGGCAAATTACTTCATCTTTCAGCATCTCCCTTTTATCATCTTTAAAACATATGGTAATATTATATGATAAAATATATGGTAAAATATATGATAATATTCTCAGCATTTTGTGATTTTAGTGTCATTCTTCATTTACTATTTGCACATTTAATAATTTTCAAAATTACATTTTAAAGAAGGGACATAAGTTAGTGACTTAAAATAAGGAGCTTGGACCAGGCATGGTGACTCACACCTGTAATCCCAGCACTTTGGGAGGCCAAGACTGGAGGATTGCTTGAGTCAAGGAGTTGGAGGCCAGCCTGGTCAACCTAGGGAGATTCTGTCTCTACACTTGAGTCAAGGAGTTGGAGGTCAGCCTGGTCAACCAAGGGAGATTCTGTCTCTACAAATAATTTTTGAACAATTAGCCAAGTGTGGTGGCATGACCCCGTGGTCCCAGCTACTCAAGAGGCTGAGGCAGGAGGATCGCCTGAGCCTGGTGGTTGAGGCTACAGTGCACCGTGATTGTGCCACTGCACTCCAGTCTGGGCAACAGCATGAGACCCAGTCTCAAGAAATAAATAAATAAAATAAAATAAGGAGCTTGAAAAGAGAAAAATGTGAAAGATACTGAGGGGGATGTAAAAGACCTACAACATCATCTAGGAATAAGAGCAACCCAGGGGTTACGTGAGACTCCCTGCAATGAACTAAACAGAAAGAAGATGCAGCATGACCCACACCAATGTGTAATCACTGGCAGGCAGCAGCTTCCAATCTAAAAAGCAAAAGCTGTGCTTTTTTAAAATGTGACTTTATTACAGTGGAGATGCAAATGAGCCTCAATCTATTTGCTCTTCAAAAGGTATTCTTGAGCACTATATGAAAGTAACATATTTACTACCAATTGTTCTTATTTGAAGAAAAATTCCTGTGTTTTCGGTTAAAAAGATAAGTTTAGTCTAATATATACACAACAGAAGGTTATTAAACAGGATGTGCTGCCATTTGCAACAGCATGCCTTCCATGGATAAACATGGAGGATGTCATGCTAAGTGGAATACACCAGACACAGAAAGAAAAGTACTGCAGGGTCTCTCTTATATGTGGAATATTTTACAAAGCAAAATACATAGAAATAGAGATTAGAACAGTGGGTATCAGGGACAGGGAGCGGGAGGAAATTAGGAGCTGTAAGTCAAAAGGTACAAATCTGCAGGTAGGTAGGATGAGTAAGTCTAGTATACAGGAGGAAGACTATATATAGTTAATAATATTGCATTCTATATTGAAAATTTGTGAAGAGAGTAGATTTTAGGTGCTCTTATAACAACAAAAAAGAGGGAACTATGGAAAGTGATGGATATGTTAATTTCCTTAGCTATAGCAATCATTTCACTATGTGCACGTAATATCAAAACATCATGTTGTGCATCTTAGTATATACAATTAAAAATCATTTTTTAGGCCAAGCATGGTGGTTCACGCCTGTAATCCCAGCACTTTGGGAGGCCAAGGCAAGCCGATCACTTGAAGTGAGGAGTTCAAGACCAGCCTGGCCAACATGGTGAAACCCCGTCTCCATTAAAAATACAAAAATTAGCCAGGTGTGGTGATGTGCACCTGTAGTCCCAGCTACTCGGGAGACTGAGGCAGGAGAATCGCTTGAACCTGGGACGCAGAAGTTGCAGTGAGCCAAGATCACACCACTGCACTCCAGCCTGGGCGACAAAGTGAGACCCTGTCAAGAAATCGTAATAATTTTTTTATAAAAAGAAAATAAGGTTTCAGTGAGATCAATACAATGAAACACTATCTGTCCACTCTCTGAGTGACTGGGCAATTTACATGATCTCTCAGAATCTCCCTTTTATCATCTTTAAAATGTTGAGAATATTATTATCAACCTCTTAGGGTTGTTGAAAATTTAGAAGAGTAAATTCCTGGAAAGAATTTAAAAGACTGTCCTACACAGTAAGTCTGCAATAAACATCAGTCAGTAGTAATAGAGGTAGTACTGGTAGCAGCAGCAGTAGCAGCTGCAGCAGCAAAGCTCTATACTGTAACTATGGCCAAATCTGTTCTAAGTCCAAAAGAGTCAGGCGGATTGCACACAACATCTTCACGTGGCACTGTTACTGTGCTCAAAAGATTTGATCTCTCATACTTAAGAGTCTGAAGGCAACCTGTTTCTTTGACTTGAAGTTGGATGAAAAACATAGACTGTATTGATGACATGTTACATACTTATGGGTTAGCCCAAGAAAGGCCAGGTAACACCTAGTTTCTCTAAATAAGAAGAAATTTATAAGGGGATCTCCAAGCCTAGTAACAGTGCCAGAAAGCATGCATTCTGAGGGCCAAAGTCTGCATTTTGAAGGCCAAGATCTGTGTGCTAAGGGCCCTGGGAACCGCTGAGGCTGCCAAAATTGCTGCATTAGCCAAAAGCTTTGCTGTCCAGCTGAGCCAACTCTTGGCTAAACCACCAAAGAAGAAAAGAAATTGGGTCTCCAAGGCCATTGCATTGGTCCTTATAATTAAAGTGTAAACTCAAAACCTTCAGCCAGGTTTTGGACTTACACTTTAATTATTTTTCTTTAAGGGGGAAATTAATGGACGCATAAAAAAATTTAAAACACCATAAAAACCTACAAAGTTGGCTTACAAAACTGAGTATTTTTATTGCCCACCAATGGAAATGATGGCTGTGTTTCAGTAGAACTTACACATAAATACTGAAATTTGAATTTCATATAATTTTTACCTGTCATGAAACATTATTCTTCTTTTCCCCAATCACTTAAAGGTTTAAAAACCAATCTTAGTTGAAGAGCCATGCAGAAACAGGTGGCAGGCTGGATTTGGCAGATGGGTCATAGTTTTGGTGACTCCTGTATTAGTGTAAAAAGAAAATCAAACTTAAAATAATGTGGCTTGATGATTCAAGCTACTTAGAATAGTGTTGTTTTGTTTCAGCAACTGGACGTAAAGTGTTTGCCTCTTCACTTCTTTTAACAGGCTCTGGAAATATGGTGGCATCTCATCCCATTGCTGCCAGCACACCCGAAGGGAGCAATTATGGAACAATAGGTATGTCCTGCCAGGTCTGTTCATGAAAGTGTTTCCTAATTCTCCAGAGAATATGGTAGAAAGGCATTCCAGCCACTCATAACTGGGAATGTGGGCAAAGCAGTTATCCTATGAGATTGTCTTTTATTTGTAAGATGAGTTGGTTGGAGGTTTGGAAGCTTCCTCCCAGCTCTAACTTTCTTCAGTTCTGTTGTTCTGTTTCTTGGATCTGCTAGCCCCACTTGGGCAGAATTCCTTCAATGTTTGCCATCTAATACTAAGGCCCTCTAGGGACTTTTTCATCCAGCCTGGGTTTAGGGCATGAAAGATGTGTCCCAGCGAGCCTGATGTCAATTGACCAGTTGTTTCATTCTCAGGTTTCAGTGGAGTAAGGGGCGATCAGAAGACTGAGGCAGTGCTGCAGGTGAACATGGCTGTAGCCTACCAACCCTTCATTTTGGCTAACTTCATAATTGAACCTGCTGACTGCCACCCAGTCGTTCACATGGCAAACCCCAATGTTCCTTAAGCGGCCTGAAAAGAATGGAATCCTAGACCTGCCTTGTTAGAGTAGAAGCACATTGAGCTGCCTGCCCTTCCATATTGCCTGTGGATCTATGAATGGTGCTCCTTAAAATGTCAGTGTAGAGGGACTGGAATCCTGTGTTCCTGCCCTATCATTCCGTAACTTTGAGAAGCATGTGGGTTCAGTGCAGGCTACTTATTTTTAGTTCTGTAAGAACAGGATTTTTTAAAAACCATCTGAACAGAAGAAATAAAGCGGAAGGTAAGCTCAGCTCATGTGCTCATCAAGCTGCACAAATCTCCATCTGCTCTGGGAAACATTCATGGGAACAGAAGGATTCTTCCTCCCGAGAATGTTGTTTTCATTATATAATCATAGATATGGCATGGGGGTGATTTCTGTGTACAAATACTCTACCCATGAGAAATGTATAGCTGTTAGATATGTGTGAGCTCACACATATATGCAATAGATGCTATACATAGCTGTGTGCATGTGTATGTGTATATATTTATGTTCATATTTTAATATATGAAACATGAAATATAAGTACAATATTATTTTTGTATCCAAATAGTTAACAGAGCAGATGCCCTTAGATTCTAATATGTGTTCAGTCCTGAAGATAGACAAGTTAAATATAAAAATAGGAGGAGACGAAAAATAAAAGTCCATTGAGAAGGAATCGAGAGAAAGAACAGGTCTTGTGAATAAGGAGTTCGTTTGGATCAACACAGTATTTGCTAGAATGAGTCTGCAGGGTGCTTTTTGCAGAGAGGAATGGGCTCCATAGGATCTCCATGGCTTCTGAAGGCAGATGAGTTGTCTCTGTTTCAGATGAGTCAAGCTCCAGTCCTGGAAGGCAGATGTCCTCCCCCGATCGTGGGCCACCAGGCCAGTCAGACACAGACAGCTCCGTGGAGGAGAGCGACTTTGACACCATGCCAGACATTGAGAGTGATAAAAACATCATCCGGACCAAGGTACCCACTCTGCCTCACCATACTCTTTGAGAGGGCAGAAAGTTTGGCAGTAGAATAAATTTCAGCAGTACCTCAGTTTCCTTTATTTTGTTTCCTTCAGGGAAAGTCAAATTTCCCAGAAGGCTTAAATCAAATGTGCCTACAGACTAAAAGCAATACTCTGTTAATTAGCACTTGTTTTCTCGAGGAAGAAAGGTGAGCACATTAAAGAGAACAGAGCATTAATACGCTCTTAAGGTCTGAAGTGGCTGACCGTGGACAATAGAGGCAGAAGGGATCCAGCCAGATGGAAGAAAAGATTCATTTGAGGGGTGTACTGGGGAAGGCTCCCCGGTTCTGTGCATATCATCTTTCAGGAGGAAAGTTCATTTCTTTCTGGCTTGTAATTATTATTTTGTGTCATATCCAGCAAAAGATATGAAGGTGAAATGCACAGTTTCAGCCCTATGTAGTTCAAGAACCACACAGCAGACAGCTCTGAAAGCTGGGAAATCAATTCTTGACATATAAGAAGCACTCAAGACTTCCAATAAGTTGCCCACATCAGCCAGTCCTTAATATGCCAAGGAAAATACTAAGATTTTTATTAAGGTATCATGGGAAAAACAACATTAAAAGTCTTAAATAATTTTAATCAAGAAATTTGATTTACTTAATCAAATTTAGTAAATTTGAATAATTGTATCCCTTGAAAAAAATTTTTTTTTTTTTTTTTGAGACAGAGCCTGGCTCTGTCACCCAGGCTGGAGTGCAGTGGCGCGATCTCGGCTCCCTGCAAGCTCCACCTCCCGGGTTCACGCCATTCTCCTGCCTCAGCCTCCTGAGTTGCTGGGACTACAGGCGCCCGCCACCACGGCCGGCTAATTTTTTGTAGTTTTAGTAGAGACGGGGTTTCACCGTGTTCGCCAGGATGGTCTTGATCTCCTGACCTCGTGATCCGCCCACCTCGGCCTCCCAAAGTGTTGGGATTACAGGAGTGAGCCACCGCGCCCAGCCCCCTTGAATAATTTTAACAATTTTAATTTAAATTGAGACGTGTTAAGTTTGCCTTTATATCTCATGCATAAACAACTGAGTACAGTTTTGCATTCTCTTTTTATTTGGCATTCCAGATGTTCCTTTACCTGTCAGATTTGTCCAGGAAGGACCGGAGAATTGTCAGCAAAAAATATAAAATTTATTTTTGGTAAGTAGATGACCAGCAGGACCATGGTTCCCTTAAATAAACATAAAGTTTTCTTTGTAAGAGCCACAACCACTTAGGCACAAGGTTTTAGTGTTTAATGAGGCACAGGCATAGGGGATGGTGTTACCAGCCAACTATCAGTAGACCTGCGAGGGCCACACACACGAACACAGCCTCCCTCCCAGCCAAGAGGCTGAGCTGCCTTGCAAGAAATCTTCTCTCCCCTCAGAAACCCTCAAGCTGAATATTGTACTTTTGTGACAGCTCCTCGTCTTATTTTCTCTTGAAGGATGCCCTTTAGCTTGCATACAGATCTTAGAAGGAAATAAGGGACAGTGGGGCCACATGAAGTTTCATAGTGGGACCAGCAGTTTGGAAACCACACCCCTTTCATACGATCCGTCACTCATTACTCATTACAGTTGTTAGATGTTCAATCTAACAACAGCCTAAAGAGACGTTCCCTCATAAATGATGTGATTAAACCAGAAGCAGGTATTACTCACACTGTTTTACAAATGGTTGTAAGAAAAGAAAGAAAACAGAAACCCTAATATCTGTTGGGTACCAATCATTAACCTTTTTAAAAAATACGTTTCAGTTAGTATTGTCAGCTTTTGCCTCTGCAACCTAACTAAAAGTATCCAAGGGAAGCTTTTCTTTACTTCTTTAATTTCCCTTTAGACAGGATACTGTGTACCAAATGCCCCAATGCAAGAGAGGGGAGGGAACGACTGGAGAAACAGGAACCACATAATCAGCTTCTGGTTATTTTTGCAAGTTAATTATGGACTTATGGGGTGGAAGCATTCTTTTAAAAATATTAACCAAAGACTCCACTGTTCATTTGAAAATAACTATTTTTGGTTCTTTCTGCCTGCATAGGAACATCATTACCATCGCTGTGTTTTACGCACTGCCCGTGATCCAGCTGGTCATTACCTACCAGACAGTAAGTGTTGCCCCAGCCCCAGAATCCCAGCTTGCTTTCTGCAGGGAGAGTCTCCACTGTGACTGACAGAGAGAGGTACAAGGTACAACTTAGGATCCATTCAAGAATTTCCTGTTGGGGTTTCCAATTGGAGTTCACTTTGCTTCCTCTTTCTTTTTATTTTTTTTTTTAAGATGAGTCTCACTCTGTCACTCTGGCTGGAGTGCAATAGCACGATGTCGGCTCACTGCAACTTCTGCCTCCCAGATTCAGCAATTCTCCTGCCTGGCCTGGGCCTCCCCGAGTACTGGGATTACAGGCATGTGCCACCATGCCCCAGCTAATTTTTTATTGTATTTTTAGTAGAGGCAGGGTTTCAACATGTTGCCAGGCTGGTCCAAACTCCTGACCTCAGGTGATCCGCCTGTTCAAGCCCCCCAAATGTACTGGGATTACAGCCATGAGCCACGCACCCAGCCCATTGCTTCACTTTTTAACTGATCTTTCATCTCAGTTTCCCATTGTTTATCAGCAAAGGGAGCTGCTAAATCTCGCTGCTATTATTTTGTCTACCCAGTGAGAATCTTACCATTTGCGGCTCATTCAGCGACTATATCTATCCAAGTGCATCTGTTACCCCAACAATCTGAGCTTTCTGCATCTTATGGATAATGAGTTAGAGTAAATAAAGTGCCAGACACAAACAAAGGAAGCCTGATAAGCTAATCTAGCCTGTGCTTCCCATTGAAGGTAGACATACTTTTTTTCGCTAAAATTAAAAACAGCTCTGGCTTGCATGGGCAGCTCAGTCTAATCCCCCAGACTTTGGGAGGCTAGCAGGTGGATCTGGCCTGAAGCTCAGGAGTTTGAGACCGAGCCTGGGGGCCAACATGGCAAAAGCCCCTGTCTCTACCAAAAAACACAAAATATTAGGCCGATTGGTGTTCATGCACTGTGGTCCCAGCTAGCTCCAGGTAGGCTAAAGGGGAGGATTGCTTAAGCAGGAGGTGAGATTGCAATAAGCTGAGATTGCGCCCTGTACTCTAGCCTCGAGTGACAGAGTGAGACCCATGTCTCAGAGGCAAAGAGAGAGAGAGACGAGAGAGAGAAGAAAAAGAGAAGAAGAAAGAAAAGAAAGAAAGAAAGAAAGAAAGAAGAGAAAGAGGAAAGACCTTCATAAAACTAACAAAATATTCAGTAAAAAGAAAATGAAAATAAAACAACCCATGTTTTAAGCAAAAATAATATGAGAGTAGTTTGAGAATCCTCATTCCTCCATAGAATCCTAGGCCAAGGTCACTTAAATTACGTTCTATAGAATTTATTACACAGAAAGCCCGTTTACAATAGCACAAAGCTGAAGTTGTTTCTAATGCAGTGGCCCTCAGATTTTGCTGTGAATTAAGGTCACCTGGGAAGCTTTTACAAATCCCAGTGTCCAGGTTGTACCCCATCCCAATTAGATCAGAGCCTCTGAGGGTAGAGCCAGATATCTGTAGTGTCTAAATCCCCAGTGATTCCAACATACAGCCAAGATTGTGTGTTAATGATCTAATAATAGTTAGCCAATTGCATACCTATTATGCAATGAGAACAAGGACTTCACAAGGTTTGAGCACCACTGTTTATAACTAAATCTTCTCTGCATACTTTGGGAGACTGTCAGAAGATACACCTGGACTGTGGTTTGGGAAAGTTCTTGACAGAGATGGTGATAAATAGGGAAAACTGAACACACATCTCCTTGTGTCTACCTGCCTCATGTTTACCATTTCTACCCAGAGGATGGGACAGCTCTATATCCCCTCTGCATTCACCTGGCAAATAGACATAGTGTGACAGTCCTGAAACATCCCAATGTTAACATTTCATAGTCCTTTCATCATGATAACAAAGGAAACGCATTTGGGTGAATTCCACCTCGGGGCTGCATAAGGGGGTACACAGAATATTCCCGTTCAAAGCAAGATGGTAACTTTTTTGGAAAAAAGCACCTGTGCTGTGTAAGGTGGCAGATAACGGCCCATCTGTGCCGAGGAGCACTGGTTACATTGTAAACTAGCGACAGCACGTCTCCCTGAGCCCTGTCCGCTCTTTGTGATTTCCGGCTGGGGCCCAGAGGATGGAGGAAAACCACATTTCCTCTTCTCACTCTTGATTTTACAGGTGGTAAATGTCACTGGCAACCAGGACATCTGTTACTACAACTTCCTCTGTGCTCACCCCTTGGGCGTCCTGAGGTAAACCCAGTCCTCTGGTTGCCCATGAGGCATTTAGAAATGCCTTTCTGTCTAATGTTGTGATTTCAGTTTTTAAAAATGCTAAAAACAACTGTGGGAAACGACTCTATTCAAGGGTAAAAAGGAACTAAACCAAGAAGTTGAGACCAGGTATGCTCCTCTCCGTCCTGTATATGGTTCTCAGGAAACATTCCTAAGCAGGCTGCCTGCTAAGATGAGGGCAGTGACATTTTTTAAAATGTCAGATCTCTAGCTGTGGTGGCATTTGTTCACAGGCATGAGCTGGCAGCCTATTGTCTCATTCGATCCATTAAACAACCTCATGAGACAGACATTACTACAATCCCTATTTTTAGATGAAGGCAGGTGAGGACTTGCTGAAGGTCCCTCAGCTGCTACGTAGTGCAGGACACAAACCCAGCCCTGTGGCCTCCCAGGCCATGCTCCAGCCACCAGAACTTGGAGACGTGGAAGAAACATTGCCTGGGAGTTGGGAGTCTGGCTTCCTGCTCCAGAGCTGAACCAGCATTCGTTTCCTCAAATAAAGCTGCTGGCTATGATTGGCTGACACTTATCTGAAATTCACAATTAGAGAGCTGAACATCGACACTTACGTGGATCCACCTGTGAGAACTCACTCTCACGGTGTAGCTGAAACACTTGCCCGTCTTTGAAGCAGCTGTCCTTCCCAGGACTCATACTATACAAATGCCATCGGGATATGAGAGGATGGGAGGGTGTTAGGAAGCCAAGCAGGCGCTCTTGAGAGGAAATAGACACATTGTCACAGGCTGAGTAAGCATCATAAAATGAAGGAGTCATGTTAAAGAGGATTTCTAATGCTTTTCTGATCCTGAAACCTTATGGAAAGGTTAATGGAAAACACTGATGCTGAATTCGTTCATTCCTTCATGCATCATGCATTCTCTGGTCCCTTTGATGGTCTTGACGCTCTCATGGCCTCTCACTCATCCCTGTAGTGCCTTCAACAACATTCTCAGCAATCTGGGCCACGTGCTTCTGGGCTTCCTCTTCCTGCTGATAGTCTTGTGCCGGGACATTCTCCATCGGAGAGCCCTAGAAGCCAAGGACCTCTTTGCTATGGTGAGGAGAGAGTGGGTGGGAGCTAGGGAGGGTTATGGATCCAAACAGGATCTGCAAAGGAGTGGGACATCTGGCTTGATGGTGTGATGAGTTATTATGTGTAACAAACTGCATGAGACTAGAAGCATGGGCTTCCAGATTAGTGATGTGGTGGATATGGCACTATTTAATGTCTATTGACCACCCTTTCTCCTTTTGCAGGAGTACGGGATTCCCAAACACTTTGGTCTCTTCTACGCTATGGGCATTGCACTGATGATGGAAGGGGTGCTCAGTGCTTGCTACCATGTCTGCCCTAATTATTCCAACTTCCAATTCGGTAATTAGAATGTATATCTACTATACAGATTTGAATCATGAGTCTCATCCTGGAAGCCTCCCCAAAAATGTCAAAGTCATGCTTGCAAGGATCAAATGGCATTTTATGTGAGCTGAGGTGGTCAGAGAGGACCTCCACACAGAGCATGATCTAATTGAGCAGTGAGACTGCTTTGGGATGAAAGTTATGGAGAACCCAATTTATATTGGATTGAATAATAAGGACATCCAGATGTAGAAAGGGCTTGTGGTTGATTTATCTGGTGGCTCTGCCTTCATTTATCTGTGATCTCTTTGATTGTACTAAGCCTGTTTGTTGGTTTTATCCTCAGGCTATCTTCCCTGATGGTGGCAAAAGTAACTATAGCAGCCCCCATCTTCATAGCTCCACCCAACAATTCCAGAGGCAGCAAGCTGGGTTCCAGGAGCCTTCAATTAAGAGCAAGGAAGCTGTTTTTTGAGAAAGCCACAGATAACATCCTTTCACACCTCAGTAGCTTAAACAGTCATGAGCCCATTTTTTTTGACAGCATCTGGCTCTGTCGCCCGGGCTAGAGTGCAGTGGCATGATCTGGGCTCACTGCAATCTCTGCCTCAAGGGTTCAAGTGATCCTCCTTCCTCAGCCTCCCTAGTAGCTGGGACTACTGGTGCACACCACCACGCCCAGATAATTTTTGCATTTTTTTGGTAGAGATGGGGTTTCATCGTGTTGGCCAGGCTGGTCTCCAACTCCTAACCTCAGGTGATCTGCCTGCCTCTGCCTCCCAAAGTGCTGAGATTACAGGTGTGAGCCACCACACCCAGCCCCATGAGCCCATTCTTGAATCATTCTCTAAGCGCTGGTTAGCTCAGACCCAGGTTGCTTCGCCAATCAGCAAAAAAGGTGGGACTGTCTTTAGACCAATCAGCCCTGTCCCTGGAGCCAAAGGTGGGATTAGCTTTCCTGAAGCAAAGGGGCTGAGACAGTGTGCATTTCTGAATTGAAAGTGGGTAGACATTGAGTTAGTATTGAGATGCTGTTAAGAAGGAGGAAGGGAAGAGCTGATGCTGTCTAGCAAGTAACGACATCCTCCATGCTCAAGGATGAGGATTTTTTTAAACGGTCATTTAATGTTTGTGCTCCGGCTTCTGGTTGTTAACTCTGAGCACCACAGAAGTCTGTCACATTTAATTTTTTTTAATTAGAAAACATTTTCAATGGAGAAAACTACAGAGAATATATCATTCACCACTCAGAATGAACAAATGTCAACACTTTTAAATATTTGCCTAGATCTACTTTTTAGACAATAAAGCACTGTGATAAAGTTGAGGTCCTGTTTTGACGCACTTTCAGACTTAATCTCCTCCTTCCTCCCCTAAAAGCAATAACCATGATTAATTTGATATTTGCCTTTCTGGTTTTTATAATTTTTCCATATTTGTAGCAAATTAATAGTAGTTTATCATTCTGTGTTCTACAGCCTTTTTGCATTCAAGAATATGTTTTCAAGATTTATCAATATTATATCAAGGACATGTAGTTCACTCATTTTTTTTTATTATACTTTAAGTTCTAGGGTACATGTGCATAACGTGCAGGTGTGTTACATATGTATACCGTTCACTCATTTTTAAGGGTTATCTATTGTATAACAAAAAGTATCACATTTCTCAATTCCTCTATTGAACAGCATTTAGATGTTGCCCATATTTTGCTATTACAGATAATGCTACAATGAGCATCCTTCTATATATGTCTCTTTGTATGTATGTGAGAGAAGTTCCTTGTGATACCTAGAAGTAGAATTTTTTAGTTACTTGGTCTGTGCACCTTCTATTTTACCAAAAACTGACAAATTTCTCTCCAAAGCATTAATTCCCGCTCCCAATAACTGTGTGAGACTTCCCATTCCCCAGATCATCACTAACATTTGTTACTGTCAGACATTTAAAATTCTTACCAAGTTTTTGAGTAATATGGAGGCATTGCATTGTTGTCTTAATTTGCATTTCCACAATTCTAATGCAGTAAGCTACGTTTTATTTCTGGCTATTTTCCATCACTGGGCTATAAAGCTATAAATGTGCAGTAATCAATATGGTTATATTTTAGGGTGCTGAGAACGACCTCCCACACCCATCTGGGGCTCATTTTATGGTCACACTGCCTACACTATCACTATTAGGAATTCTTTTATTATTGCTGTTGAACACCAGTGTCTAAAACGCAAGGGGGGATAGTTATTTATTGTATCAGACACTCTTCTTCCATGAAAGAGGAGTTATTTATTTATTATATCAGATGATTTTTTTCTGTGAACTAAAGGGCAGCCTTAGAGAGGTTTAGAAGTGGAGTACGTGGGATCTGCCTAGAGAATGTTCCAGGAGGCTGACATGTTAGAGGTCTCCACACAGTCTGCGGGTAGCAAATAGTCCATAGATTGAAGTGAGGGGTACTCAGAGGCTGAAGAAGAATCTAGAAAATATCATCTGTCTGTCACCTACTGAATCCTGATCGTCTGGCTCCTCCTTTGGCTCCTCAGACACCTCCTTCATGTACATGATCGCTGGCCTGTGCATGCTGAAGCTCTATCAGACCCGCCACCCAGACATCAATGCCAGCGCCTACTCCGCCTACGCCTCCTTCGCTGTGGTCGTCATGGTCACCGTCCTTGGAGTGGTGCGTCCCCCACCTTCTTCCACCTGGCTCTCAAAGAGTACCCCCCTAGGTCCAATAAACAAACAGCAATCAAGTGAACGGGTTTGGATTAACCAAAATCCTCAGTTCATGACACACTTTTATCATTGGCCCGCTCATGGCATACTTTTATTCAGTTATTTAGTTTTTTGGGTTTTTTTTTTTTCCAGACAGAGTCTTGCTCTATCACCAGGCTGCAATACAGTGGTGCGATCTCAGCTCACTGCAACCTCCACCTGTCGGGTTCAAGCAATTCTCCTGCCTCAGCTTCCTGAATAGCTGTGCCTACAGGCGTGCACCACCATGCCCGGCTAATTTTTGTATTTTTAGTAGAGACGGGGTGTCACCATGTTGGTCAGGCTGGTCTTGAACTCCTGACCTCGTGATCTGCCTGCCTCAACTCCCCAAAGTGCTGGGATTACAGGCATGAGCCACCGTGCCCGGCCTTGTTGGTTATTTTTAGTAATGTATTAGGCACCTGTAAAACCACCACAGGATAATTTTAATATAAAGCTAGGCCTGACTCATGTGAAAATGGAATAGGGGTATATAAGCTGACTGGAGAGACTGACTCAAAAAAACAGCAACCACTTTCTAAATATGCATGGGCAACACGTGTTGGCTGTTTTGGTTATTTGAAGTGCATTCGCCCCCACTTTAGACCTATTGCCTCTTCACTATTGCTATTCAGCTGCCTCTCCTATTTCTCTTTTCCATTTTCATTTGGTCCCTTAACCTTTTTTTTTTTTTTTTTTCCTGTCCCATGGGGGTAAGATTTGTGGGAGTTTCCAGAGGGGGAGAAAAACAGAATGCGCACACAGCTGTTTTTGACTCCTTACACATACAGGAGAGAGGGTGATTTTGATGAGTTTTCTAGGGAAAACCCCAGATGAAGCTAACTTCCATCTTTACTCCTAGGTATTTGGAAAAAATGATGTGTGGTTCTGGGTCATCTTCTCTGCAATCCACGTTCTGGCCTCACTAGCCCTCAGCACCCAGATATATTATATGGGCCGTTTCAAGATAGGTGAGTTACCTGTTAATTCTCTACTAAACACACGAATCAACTTCAATGAAAAATGAGACATTGCCTTTACTTATGCTGAATGAAAGTGTTACTGGTCATCATGAACACTTGCTCTGGATTCTATGCCACGTTTAATAGCATATATTCTCTCCAAGAGCTTCCTCTCCCTTATAGGATAGTGATAAGCTATTACCACTAGTTCTATTTTCAGCTGAGAAACTAAGATTTGCCACACCTCAGAGAGGAGGTATACCTCCAACCCTTGGTTGCAAACACTTTGCAGTCTGCCAAACTTTGACTTGTATTTAGAAAATGGTATGATCATCATACCACTAGTTCCACCTAGAGGAACATTTTTCAGTTTGCAGAATTCAAAGGGAGCATTTCTTTAACCATGCTAAATGGTTGTCAAGAATGAATTATATATTTTCAGATTCTAGGGCTGGAACTTTTGAGACCAACTTGCCAATCTTAGAGGCAGGATACCTGCTGAGCTCCCTCCAACTTATCAGAGAGCATTGTATGTTCTACAGAAATCACCTTGTGATCTGCTGTTGGTCAGTCATCATATATGGGAACAGATTCAAGCGGTTTTAGAGCACTTAAATTTTAAAAAATCATTTTAAGTTCTGGGAAGTCGGACTTAAATATCCTTTTGTCTATTTTAAGGAAAATTATTATATGTAAACATAGGCAAACCTCTGATATTAACAAAGCCTGGAACAAAAGTCCAAATAAAACCCTGCATAGCTTATGTGTAAGAACATCAAAGTCATAAAGCGGACTAAAAAGCTATTAAATACATGAAAGGAGAGAGGGAGGGAGGGAAAAATATACCTCCACTGCAACGTTGAAGGACTAGGTTCAAATGTAAAATTCTTGGTTCCTCAAAGAACACTTTTTTCTACCTCTGGTTGTGTCTTAAGGAGTCTCACAGGTATGCATGTGGCACCTTTGCCCAACCTCCGATGTTCATCCACATACCCCATAAATAGCCACCACTTGGCCATTCCCTGCCCCTAGAGGTATGCCTTAGTGGTGCCATCTGCCCTCAGGAGGATAGACAAGGGAAGGGGGCTAAGCAGGCCCTAGAGCAGGCTCGGAGCCTTCTGGGCAGGTAGACACTTCTGGCACCCTGGAGTTCAGAATCTCAAGAAGGAAAAGAGGAGTCCTTTGGCCCTGCAGACTCCTCACTCATGAGGGAATAAGGCCTCTAAAATATGGGACCCTCTTGTCCAGGTCTAAGAGCAATTCTAAATAAATGAATGGCTTTAAGACCAGAAGACCGAATAGAGCAATTGCTCATTTTCAAAGGTTAGTTCTTTTTCCATGGTCAGTAGATTTACCTCTGGCATGAACATAGCCAGCATACCTCCAAATCCCCCAGTTACTTGAGCCAGTTGTGTAGAACATTTGGCAGGGCACGCTGGGCATGCTCCTCCACCAGACAGAAGGTAAGTGAAGTCATACAAACTAAACTTTCAAAAGGAAAATCATTTGGAGCATTATTGTTCTGGTTTCTTCCAGAGTTGGAAAAATAAACTTGAGTGCAGATATATGCAGTGGAGTGACCACTAATGCACAGAGGAGCTTTCATATATTTATACCACCTTTGCCTTATGCAGTTTTGCAATGCCAAATTATCCTATCTTTTAAAAGAAGTGAAATTTAGCGTATTGTATTATGACCATGGAATAATTTGTTAGGGTCCCAACAGGAGAAAGATGTCACACACAAAGAAAGAGAAGGATTTATTCACAGAAGGGCTATTCACAAGATGTGGATGGGGTAGAGAGGAATAAAAGGATATCATGGAAACTTGGGGTTAGCAGCAGTGAAGCTTTTACATCTATAAGCCCAAAAAGACAGGGAAGACATGGTTCCCAAAATGTGGGAGGAGAGAGTTATGGGGGAAAATGTCACTCTGAAAGGAGCAGTGACCTTTCATTGACATTCTGGCCAGCCTGCAGTAACCTCACAGGGAGGACGCCAGCAAAATAAGTCCTCCAAGCTCACTTTCCTTCCTTTGTCCCTGTAGTCTCCTGCTGGGATTCCCCATTGTCCAAGGAAAGTCAGAGAATCCACTGACGTCGTCCACACAGGCCCACCTCCCCAGTGTGGTGGGTCCCCAGGAGACACACTCATGGCAAGTGGGCCTAGTACAGCAAATGGGAGCTAGCCAGCCTGTAGTTTAACTGAATGTTTTCCATTTCCGTACCCATGGAGTCTTCCCCAGGTGATTACAGGTGAACCAGAGTCCAAAGAAAACGTTCTATTTCGTCGTGACAATGACTGTATCTAAATTTAGTCCAAAGCCAGGAAGTTGGATTCGTGGACAGTGTTCAGCTGACTCCAGCCTTTCTACCCATGTCATAAGCTGCCTTTGCTTTCTAATCACATGTCCTTTCTCTGTGGCCCCTCGGGCTACACAAGCAAATCAATGTGGACACAGGAAAGGCAGCAGCAACGAGGAAGAACATTTAATCATTATCTCTTATAAACCAGAGAGCCGCTTCCCCAAATCACTACTGTGTCCACCATTCCCAGAGCGCTGGAAAACGACCTCCGGGATTTCTCATGAGAGACGCTGGATTATAAACCGGAAGTGGTGCACGAAAGTAGACAGGGAGAGAGAAAAGTCTCAGTTCACTCTGAGGATTTGAAGACTTCTGAATGTTTGAGACAAGCAGAAAAATCCTGTGTTCTTTTTTGACAAGTAAACATTACTTTTATAATCAGAAAGCAAAACTGAAGTCATCCATCTCGAGAAAAAATAAAATGACCAGTAGTTTACATGTTTGGCTACTTTCTTACAATCTCTTCTTTTTTTTTCTCCTTTCTTCTCTGCTTCCTACTGATTCAGATGTGTCTGACACAGGTAATGTTCAGCCACCCTTTCCAGGGGTCTAGATTGCTTTTTTATCAAAGTGACCCAGCTGGCTGTCCTGGCAGCCCTGCTCCCTGAACAGCCTCTTTCAGGCTGGGCAGACTACATGGGAGTGGGGAGAGAGAGAGGCTCGGAAGGGAGACTGCGCTCCACCCTAGCCTGCTCCACGCCGCTTCTGGGATGCCACAGAGCCAGGTGTCTTCCCCCTGGTTAAATTGACCACAGGGGTAACCTTGAGGAGGAGCAGGATTCATAGCAAAGCTGAGATCCACGTTCTGGAAAATGTTTGCCTTGGGCAGACCCAGACTGGCATTCGATATCTGTGGTGTGGACAGCTCACAGAAACACAGCCCGCCTTTGAACCTGACTGTTCATGTAACATTTTAATACACACACTCGCTGCATTTCATATCATCCTTTTCAACTGTGTTTAAAAACCCTTTCCTGTCTTTTTCTCCCCATCTTAACTTACCTCCCCTTGATGATTGTTTCAGTTCAGATAGATTTTCTGAACATGCTCAGTGAGCCTTTAGTTCAATTGTTACTCACTTATAACCACATTGAGAAATAACAGATCTGAACCTTCACAAGCTAAGATTTCCCATCCTCTAGAGAGAGCGTGTGTTTTAAAGTCGATTGAAGAGACCCATAACATCTCTACTATAAAGAAAACACCACCAGAGTAAACGGTAAACAAAAAGAAGCTTAGCTGAAGGAAAGAGAATAAGGGTCGGCCAGCCACCCATGTTATTTGCGAGTGCTTGTTGCTCATGTCCATCTTCCTCGCCTTTCTGCTGTGTAATGCACAGATATGGCATCTCTCAGTGACAATACCATTTTTCAAAGCAAATGCTTATTGCACACCTATTAGGTGCAAAGCATTCTAATGCATTTTAATGAAGGGAGGATGACATCATTCTGGCTCCAAAAGCTTGGGCCACTTCAGAGTATTTGTATTTTCGTTGACTAAGCCTTCTCACCATGCATTTTTGTATTATCAGCAGATTTGGGAATTTTCCGGCGGGCTGCCATGGTGTTCTACACAGACTGTATCCAGCAGTGTAGCCGGCCTCTGTATATGGTACGTGCCTGTGTTCTTTGACCCTCTCCTAGGAAGAAGGGGAGTAGTAGGAGGGACAGGCGTGGGGCAGTCACTCAGGGCTCCTAAAATCAAGAGGGCCAGATGGCCCAGGGTGGCTAAAGGCCCGAGTGGGGAAGGAGCATGGTGCTTACTCTTTCTCATAAAAGTCAAGCTAACATGGTCCCATTTTTATAAACAAAATATTTGCTAGTATATAAAAGAGAAGAAAATACATCTACCCAACTGTTAAACAGTGATGATTATGGACACATGGTGGGGAATAACACACACTGGGGCCTGTTGGAGGGTGGGGTGGTGGGGGGCCGGTGGGAGGAGGGAGAGGATCAGGAAGAATAGCTAATGAATGCCGGGCTTAATACCTGGGTGATGGGATGATCCGTGCAGCAAAACCACCATGACACACGTTTACCCATGGAACAAACCTGCACATCCTGCCCACGTAACCCTGAGCTTAAAATAAAATTTGGAAATAAAAAGTAATAATAATGAATTTTTTTTTTTTTTTTTTGAGACGGAGTTTTGCTCTTGGCCTGGGCTGGAGTGCAGTGGCACGATTTCGGCTCACTGCAACCTCCGCCTCCTGGGTTCAAGCAATTCTCCTGCCTCGGCCTCCTGAGTAGCTGGGATTACAGGCATGCGCCACCATGCCTGGCTAATTTTGTATTTTTAGTAGAGGCAGAGTTTCTCCATGTTGGTCAGGCTGGTCTGAAACTCCCAACCTCAGGTGATCCACCCGCCTTGGCCTCCCAAAGTGCTGGGATTACAGGCGTGAGCCACTGTGCCCCGCCCAATAATGAAATTTTTAAAAAACAAAATAAAAATAAATGAACAATGATCATAGCTATGGGGAGGATCAAGACAGAGCACCCCTATAAAGAATCATCCAAACAGGTACCCTTGTGGAAGTGAAGGGCACACCACTAATAATTCCACCAGGACAGCAGTGATAAACTAGGACTATCTCCAGCAAACTGGGACCCGTGGTCACTCCAGTCACGTTCATTAGGAACTTACACTTCCACATTATGCGTTTCTGTACTGTTTGATTTTCACAATGAGCAAGAATTTTTTATAACTTGTGTTTATTGCTTGATAGTTGAAATATACTTCAGTGTATGATATATTTCTGTAGTGAGCTCAGAGCTCAGGGCCCTGGTCCCAGCTCTCTCTTGGCTCTCTGGTCAGTGATCTTGGGAAGGCTGCCTTCCTCCTCTGAGCCCACTGCCCAGGCTTTACAAAGTGCTGCAGTCAGAACTAGTGATGCTAGTATGGCCTGGCACACAGGGATTTAGCAAGTACCTGCTAATCCTTTATAATCAGAATATTTTTTCTAAAGGAATATGGAAATCTGTGAGCACTCTCGAGCTTGGGCAGGAGCTATACGCACTAAAAACAAGGGAATTGAGGCTGGAAGGTTTATTCAGGTGAGAATGAAAAAGTCCATTAGGACTTGTGAGTATTTTGAGAGGCAAGTTCTCCTGCTTACCTGTGAACCAGGAGAGGCAAGTAATGTTTTTGTTTTTTACATTAATTGATGGAGGCTTCCTTTTTTAAATAGACTTTATATTTTTTAGAGCAGCTTTACATCCACAGAAAAATTGAGCAGAAGGTACAGAAATTTCCCATATACCCTCTGCCCCCACTCCCCCCACGCACAGCCTCCCCCACTATGGACGTTCCAAACCACAGTGGTACATTGGTTACAGTTGATGAGCCTACACTGACACATCATTACTACCCATGTAAGGCTTACATTACATTAATGCTCATTCTTGATGTACGCTCATAGGTTTTGACAAGCGTGTTGACATGTACCTACCATTATAGTATCATATGAGCCAGTTCCACTGCCCTAAAAATCCTCTGTGCTCAGCCTATTCATCCCTCCCTCCCTCTTAAGTCCTCACAACCACTAATCTTTTTTCTGTTGACACAGTTTTTCTTTTTCCAAAACGTAATTGGAGTCATATGGTATAGAGCCATTTCATACTGACTTCTTCCACTTAGTAATGGGCATTTAAGTTTCCTCCATGTCTTTTCATGGCTTGATAGCTCATTTGTATTTAGCATTGAATAATATTCCATTGTCTGGATGTGCCACAGTTTATTTATTCACCCACTGAAGGACATTTTGGTTGCTTCCAAGTGTGGATAATTATGAATAAGCTGCTGTAACATTCATAGTTTCTTTTCTCCATAGGTTTTAGTGTGGACATGAGTTTTCAATTCCTTTTGTTAAATATCAAAGGGAGCTATTGCTGGATTGTATGGCAATCATATGTTTAGTTTTGTAAGAAACTACGAAACTGTCTTCCAAGTGGCTGTATCGTTTGGCATTCCCACCAGCAATGAATGTTACTGTTGCTCCACATCCTCGCCAGCATTTGGTGTTGTCACTGTTGGGGGATTTTAGTCATTCTAATAGGTGAATTAATGTTTTTTTAAATGAAGTTACTTCCTCCAAATTGGATGGATCACCTAAAAGACAAAGAATTGCTACTTTTAAATAGTAGATGAGTGGTTATGCAAATTAAAGTATGATCAAATCTCTCCTAAAAGTTTTAAGTAGTATGCAAAGGACAGGGACAGACTGTGAATAAATCTCTGTCAGAGTAATTGTTATTTATTTATTTATTTATTTATTTATTTATTTATTTATTTTGAGACAGAGTCTTGCTCTATCGCCCAGGTTGGAATGCATTGGCACAATCTCAGCTCACTGCAACCTCTGCCTCCCAGGTTCAAACGCTTCTCAGGCCTCAGCCTTTCAAGAAGCTAGGACTACAGTTGTGTGCCACCATACCCAGCTAATTTTTGTATTTTTAGTAGAGACGGGCTTTCACCATGTTGGCCAGGCTGGTCTCGAACTCCTGACCTCAGGTGATCTGCCCGCCTCAGCCTCCCAAAGTGCGGGGATTATAGGCGTGAGCCACCACACCCGGCCTATTGTCCTTTAAAACTGACCTTTTCTCCCTATTTTCTCCCCTACAAGACTATATTGTAGACACAGGAACCTGGGAGTTTCAGGACCACCTTGAAACCAGAGTAATGGGTACAAAACTAACGCCCTACAGCTGGGGCCTGAGAGTTGCAATTGTGGCTACCAAGTAGTACACCCCAGAAAAACAGTGCTCGATTACATAGTACCAGTGGCAGAATTCTCTTAATTCTGTAATCAGCACATCCCACCAGCCTCCCCACTGAGAAGTGGGCCTGCGGGCGCAGCTCCACTAAACACTGGGGAGAAATAGAGTCCTGCTTTGCTCACCACATTTTCTTTCTCAGGGATGAGGTCAGGTCTATTTGCAGTTAGAAGCCTTGCCATTTAGTCTTCGTATACAATCAGTGTCAGATCACAGGCAAGGCACTCTTAGAACCACAGAAAATGTTTTTCACCAATGCAATTGTTTTCCCATAGTTGATACTTCCACTACAGTAGGTTAAAAGAAAAGTCAGATGTGCAGCCTCTCATTTGATGTTTTCTTTCCTCTTTTCCAGGATAGAATGGTGTTGCTGGTTGTGGGGAATCTGGTTAACTGGTCCTTGTAAGTAGTCTTATGAAAACATGTTTTTGCCTTTATTAATGTCAGTAACGCTGTGGTTTAGCTTTCCTTGACTGTCATTTTTACGAAGAAATCTGAAATTAAGGAGAAGGTAGGATTGCTTGTTCTAGAGACTCAAAAAAGGTAGTAGGACATTCTCGTGTAGCAATTGTAGCCTCTCTTAAAAACACTGAGGCATTGAGTTCATTTGCTCAACAAGACAAACATCAAAACTCATTAAATCTATGTGGATACGTTGGATAGATAGATGGTTGGATGGATGGATAGATGGATGGATGGATGGATAGATAGATAGATAGATAGATAGATAGATAGATAGATAGATAGATAAATTATACCACTGATTGCAAATATCCAACATAGCTTTAAACTCTTTCACAGAACTTTCCATAAAGACTACCCAGAAGGCCTTCTTTTCTATAGAAATTTTTCTTTTACTAAATGTATGTGTGTGTATGTGTCTGTGTGTGTGCAAGTCCCTCTTTTATTTCTTTCCCTCCCCAGTCTCTTTCTTTCTACCTACATCATTCTTCTTCCTTCTTTCCCATGGCCTTTGTTCCTCAAATGGCTCAAAATAGAACAGAACAACAGATGCATATTTTTGCTAGCCACAATTATTTTATGCAATCTATTCTCAATTTATACAGTTGAATGAGTGAAATATTTTAGTGATCACTCAAACAATAAGTAAGTTTAACTGCTGTTATTTGTAGCTCCTAGCTGGTGAGCTCCTCGGGGTCAGTGGCCTTTGACAAAACAAAAACAAAAACAAAAAAAGATTCTGTAATCTCAGTGAACATTAAGGAATGAAGAGGCATTCCTTCAGGGGAAGCCAGAATCAAGTCATGAGAATCTGAGTCTTATCTGGGGGGCATGTGCTTCTGGAAGAAGCTTCCCATGTTGTCACCCCAGGGATTGCCCCAGGATAAGATGTATACCATTTAAGGATTCCTCCTTTACTTGGGGGCAGGTCGAGATGAGAGGATTCTTGGGCAGTGGTCTGTTCTTGACCACCCTTCTAGCAGACTCCACAGTCCTGGTGGTCCTGAAAGAGAGGGCCCTGGGGGGAGAAAAGGGACCAGCCTCTTGATAATGAACAGCCTTTGACTATCACCGTGGGGGCTCAGAATCACTTGGCTTGTCTCTGTCTCTCACATAAGCAAAACCATATCCACGATCTGCTCACAAGACAAGGCAGATGGCCTCTCTTTGTACAGCTCTGTGAGACGAGAGGGCCTGCAGGGATGAAGGAGGTTCAATGACAGACTTCACCGTGATTATCTGATAGTGGGCTACCTCCTTCCCAGTTGCTCCATAAAGACATGGAATGATTTCCCATGAATGTTATTTTAAAAGGAATTACTTTCATATGGTCCTGAAGAAGAAAAATGGTTTGTGTGCATACATATGTGTGTATTTACATATAGGCATAGAGATGTATGTACATACATATGCATATATATATACACACACATAGAGAGAGAGAGAGAGAGAGAGAAAATGACAAAGCAAGTGTAACAAAAAGCTAATAACCAGAGAATCTGAAGGAAGGATGTACAAGAGTTGCTTGGTATACTAAAGATTTCAAAATCTGGGAGAAGAAAATTTTCTATATTATACAGAACAAAGTCAGTTGAGGCCGGGTGCAATGGCTCACACTTAGAACCACAACACTTTGGGAGGCTGAGGCAGGAGGATTGCTTGAGTCCAGGAGTTTGAGACCAGTCTGGGCAACATGGTGAGACCCTCTCTCAAAAAAAAAAAAAAAAAAAAAAAACCAAGTCAGCTGGAATTCAAAATGAACAAAAAGAGTCCATTAATAGTAGCTTTACACGTTAAATACTTACGAATAAATTTTGAGAGATGTACACAATCTTTCTGTAGAAAATGTAATTATCTTCTTAGGAGTCATAAGGAAAATTAAGCTAAATGAAGACAGACATCAGGTCCTGGGTGGAAAGATAACTATTGCAAAGATATCCTTTCTCAAGGTAATGTATACATTTAGAGTTAGAATAGTAATTAAGTTAATAAGGTTTTATGTTTTATTCTAAAAGTTATTTGCCTAGTTAGGCAAAAATTTCAAAGACCTTTGAAAAAGAGATTAACAGAAGGAAGGAGGGGCAGAGGTGACTAGCCCAGCATTGTCCAGTAGAACTCTCTGGAGTGATGTAAATATTCCACACATACAGTCCAATACAGCAACTATTAGCACATAGATATCGAAGACTTGAAATGTGGTTAGTGTGACTGAGGAAGTAGATTTTCAATTTTATTTAATTTCAGTTAATTTTAATTTAAATAGCCACATGTGGCTACCAAGTGGAACCGTGCAGGCTAGCCTAATCAGATAATCTAGCATATTATAAAATGATAATAAAATAGTGAGGCACTGATCTAAAATTAGAAATTAGAAATATGAATCAGTGAATCTGAATGGAGGACAGAAACCCAACTAGATAGAGATATTGAGATTTTGAAAAATATATATGTGGATGTGTATTCATTAAAAACAATTTCAAAACAAGGAGATAAAGAATTATGTAATAAAGGACATACTATAACTGAATAGAAATCTGGAACAAAATTAAAGCTAACTCCAACCAAAATTAACTTTAGCATTAATTTTAAAACCATGGACAGCTAGCAAAAATTTGATAATGAGTGTCAAGCCAATCATGGAGATGATTTTGCTTCTATTCTAAGGAACTAATCTTAAATGAAAAAAATAAGCTCAATGTCTGAAAGTATTTATTCGTTGTAGTGTTTCTTATAATAGTGAAAAACCGAAGAATGTGGGAAAACACCTCACTTCAACACAAGAGGAAAGATGATCGTTTACATTGCATTCAGTTATGGGAACTTTACATGGTTGTTAGAAATGAATGCTTGGAAGAAAGTGTAATAAATTAAAAGTTACTTATATAGGCAAGGCACCATGGCTCAGAGCTGTAATCCCAGGGCTTTGGGAGGCTGAGGCAAAAGGATGGCTTGAGGACATGAATCCAACACCAGGCTGGGCAACATAGCAAGACCCTGCCTCTACAAAAAAATTTTTTAAGTTAGCTGTAAGTGGTGGCATGCATCTGTAGTCCCGGCTACCAGAGAGGTTGCAGTGGAAGGATCGCTTGAGTCCAGGACGTGAAGGTTGCAGTGAGCCGTGACTGCGCCATTGCACTCTAGCCTGAGCGAGGGAGTGAGACCTCAACCTCAACTGTTAAAAAAAAAAAAAAAAAGATGCTTATATGTTAAAGTATTATTTTAAAAATCTACTGTTTTATCACGAGGTAAGAGTTTAAAAACAAATAAAATAAACTAAAAATAAAAGTTAAAAAAAAAAAAAAGAAACTGCCCCTTCTCCCTCAGGGGACTGGGGGATTGGAAAAGCCAATAGTGTTACAAATCCACCTTCACGGCTGCCCACATTTCTCCCACGCCCGCAGCGCCCTCTTCGGATTGATACACCGCCCCAGGGACTTTGCCTCCTACATGCTGGGCATCTTCATCTGCAACCTTTTGCTGTACCTGGCCTTTTACATCATCATGAAGGTAAGAGCGAGCGCCGGGAGCCGCTGCGTCGGGCTCTGGGGCAGGCGAAGGCGGAGACCCGTAAGGCCGCATCTGCTTCTTCCCCGGCAGCTCCGCAGCTCTGAGAAGGTGCTCCCGGTCCCGCTCTTCTGCATCGTGGCCACCGCTGTGATGTGGGCTGCCGCCCTGTATTTTTTCTTCCAGAATCTCAGCAGCTGGGAGGTAAGAGGCCAGTTTTCTTACCCAAAAAGAACTTCCGTCTCCAACTTGCCATTTTGGCCTTTCTACCTCCCTCTCTTAATGTGTTTTCACAGTGTCTAAAATGAAAGTTTTCTCTACCAGGGATGGTTTTTAACAGCCATACATAAATGCACACTAACTGCGTGTGGTTATCATTCTCAGGGTGGCCCTTTATAAATCTGTGAGCACTATCGACATGGCAAAATTGGTCTTCATTGCATGTTATATTAGGACGCTGGTCCCAGTGGATGCTTAACGTGGTCAAAAGCCTGGAGTAGTGCATCTCCTCATCTTTCTCATAATCTCCATCCATCAACAAATACCCAGGCCACGCGCGGTGGCTCACACCTGTAATCCCAGCACTTTGAGAGGCCGAGGCGGGTGGATTCCGAAGTCAGGAGTTCGACACCAGCCTGGCCAACATAGTGAAACCCCGTCTCTACTAAAAATACCAAAAAAATTAACCAGGCGTGCTGGCGGGCACCTGTAATCCCAGCTACTCGGGAGGCTGAGGCAGGAGAATGGCTTGAACCCGGGAGACAGATCTTGCAGTAAGCCGAGATCGCGCCACTGCACTCCAGCCTGGGCAACACAGTGAGACTCCATCTCAAAAAACAAAAAAACAAATACCCAAGCTCACGTATCATTACATCCCGTCCATAGATAGCAGAGCCGAAGCCTAAGAAGTTACTGGTATATCTGAGGCACAGAACAGGAAGAAGTGTTAGCATTCCATCACAACAGTCACCACAATAGATTTTAGAACATTTCTGTCACTCCAGAAAGAAACCTCATACACATCAGCATTCACTCCTCACTTCTCCCTAACCCCTTCGCCCTAAGCAACTACTAAATCTACCTTTTGTCTCTGTATATTTGCTTATTCTGGACATTTCATGTAAATGGAATCACACAATACACGGCCTTTGTGTCTGACTTCTTTCCCTTATGTGTCCTAGGTTCAAGCACGCTGTAACATACATAGTACTTCATGTCTATTCATTGCTGAATAATATTCCATTGTACTGATATACCACATTTTATCTACCTGCTCATCAGCTGATTGACAGTTAGATTGTTTCTATTTTTTGTGTCATTATGAGTGATGCTGCTGTGAATATTTGTGTACAAGATTTTTCTTGAGGTAAAATATACGTATAAAATTTGCCATCGTTACCGTTTTAAAGTGTGCCATTCAGCAGTCAAAAATACACGCACATTCTTTTGTTTTTCCCCTCATCTCCCTCTCCCGCCACCCTTCCTGGACTCTGGTAACTACCAAACTATTCTCTGTCTTCATGGGATCCACTTTTCTAGCTGCCTCATATGAGTGAGAACATGCAATATTTGTCCTTCTGTGCTTCACTTATTTCACTTAACATAATGGCCTCGAGTTCCGTACGTGTTGCTACAAATGGCAGGATTTTATTCTTTTTTATGGCTGAGTGGTATTTTATTGTGTTTGTATGTATATGTACAGTGTCTCCGTAGATATGTGTATCATATTGTCTTTGTCCGTACCTCCATTGATGGGAACTTAGATAGATTCCACGTTTTGCCTATTGTGAACAGTGCTGTAATAAACATGGGCGTGCCGATAACTCTTTGACACACTGATTTCTTTTCTTTTGGATATATATCAAGTAGTAGAATTGCTGAATCATATGGTAGCTCTATTTTTTCCTTTTTTCTGTTTTTTGTTTTTTGTTTTTTGAGACGGGGTCTCCCTCTGTCTCCCAGGCTGGAGTGCAATGGCATGATCTTGGCTCACTGAAACCTCCACCTTCCAGATTCAAGTGATTCTCCTGCCTCACCCTCCTGAGTAGCTGGAATTACAGGCACCCGCCACCATGCCCAGCTAATTTTTTTTGTATTTTTAGTAGAGACGGAGTTTCACCATGTTGGCCAGGCTGGTCTCAAACTCCTGACCTTAGGTGATCCACCTGCCTGTGCCTTCCATGGTGCTGGGATTACAGGCGTGAGCCACTGTACCTGGCCGTAGCTCTATTTTTAGCTTTTTAAGGAACTTCCAAACTGTTCTCCACAGTGGCTGTACTAATTTACATTCCCACCAACAGTGTGTGAGAATTCCCTTTTCTCCACATCCTCGCCAGCATCTGTTATTGCCTGTCTTTTTGATACGAGCCTTTTTAACAAGGGTAAGATGATATCTCATTGTAGTTGTGATTTGCATTCTCTGATGATCAATGATGTTGAGCACCTTTTCATACGCCTGTTTGTCATTTGTATGTCTTCTTTTGAGAAATGTCTATTCATGTCTTTTGCCCATTTTTAAATTGGATTTTTTTTGCTTAGAGTTGTTTGAGCTCCTTATACATTCTGGTTATTAATTTCTGGTCAATGGATAGTTTGCAAATATTTTCTCCCATTCTGTGGGTTGTCTCTTCCCTTTGTTTGTCATTTCCTTTGCTGTGCAGAAGCTTTGTAGCTTGATGTAATCTCTCTTTTCTATTTTTGCTTTGTTGCCTGTGCTTTTGAGGTCTTTGTGTACAGGTTTTTGTGTGGATGTATGTTTCCTCGGAAGCTAACTTTTCAAACCAGACACCTAGTAGCATTTTTGTAACTTTCCAGATGTTCAACTCTTTGAACAGTTGAACTGAGGGAATCTTGCCCATGTTCTGCCTCACCTTCCTCCAGGGAACTCCAGCCGAATCCCGGGAGAGGAACCGCGAGTGCATTCTGCTGGATTTCTTCGATGACCATGACATCTGGCACTTCCTCTCTGCTACTGCTCTGTTTTTCTCATTCTTGGTGAGTTCATATCTATCTTTTTGTGACTTCCTTCTCTCTTTACATCTTGTACTCTCATTTTCTTCTTCTGCTCTTCCTTACATTGTTTTTTTATATTCCTCTCTAATTTTACTTTCCATTTCCTCCTTGTAATTCAATATACAGACCATCTTATTTCTTTTATAAATTTTATGTCCTTTGGTTAGATCTTTAGTTTTTCTTTTACCCTTCAATATCTTTAGACACAGAGGGACAAAATTATTTTCCCTAAGTTGCACAGCACATTTTTTCTGAATTGGTTATTAGACCCACATGCCCGAAATTCCCCCAGGAACCACTTTTAGCAATTCCGATAACATTGGGTTATTCTTTCTCATGCCATACTGACATTCCTCCTCCTCCTCCTCCTCATCCTCCTCCTCCTTCTCCTCCTCCAGTCTCTCTGAATATTTCACAAATATTTTACATATTCCTTAAGTGGCTTGGGATAGCAGCCACGCCTCTGTTGCCTTCTGATCAGTCTGTCCCAAAATCTCTCCTGTAGTTTCTCTGTTTTTTTGCCCCAACCCTTTCTCAGAAGCCATGCGTATTTATATCAACCCTGAATTATAGTTCCATCCTTTAATCCTAACTTTGACTTTCCCCAATTAAAAGTCCATGGTGCCTGTAGGCGGGTTCAATCGACAATTAACAACCCTACTAGACTTCAGGCCCCAGACCTACTAGACGCCCGGGCTCCACGCTAAGCGGGCTCAGGCGGGCCATATAACTTCAAGAGTGGAGCAGGGCTACCCCCTAGTGGCCAGTTTGGGAAGCTTAGCCAATCTGTATAAGCATTCCTTGTCTTTTACTTCTGATTGTCACCTTCATGAGAGAGACAGAGACAACAAAAGTGGAACCAAAGGTTCCACGTGGGGACAGTAGTAGTCGAGGGAACTAGAAATGGAGGAGAAGGGTACATTTCTTATATAGCAACACTCTATCCAACAGGACTTCATTCCCTTTGACTCTTGACCTAAATGTCCGCTAAGTAATGACTTCCCAGGCCACCCTATCAAAATTTTTTACCTCCCCACACCTGATACTTCCTATATTCCCTCCATTATTTAACTTATATCCTTAGCACTTACTACTATCTAACGGGCTATATTTTACTCATGTATTTGTTTCATGTCTAAAGCCCTCTTTAGAATGTAAGCTACATGGAGAATAGGGATTTTTGTCTCTTTCATTACAAACTATATCTCCATAGCATCTGGAATAGCACATCATAAACCTTCATGAATATTTGAATTAATTGACAAATGAATTGTATAATTAGAGTAAGTGCCTATTAAGAGCAAGGGATTGCAGAGAGCTGCAGAAGGGATGAGAATGAGAGGGAACTAACAGTTTCCAGTCTGTGGGCATCTCAGAGAGAAAACAGGACTTAGTGTGGCAGTGACTGTCCATTCCTTTCATTTCTCTGTCCCTCTCGTTTCAGGTTTTGTTAACTTTGGATGATGACCTTGATGTGGTTCGGAGAGACCAGATTCCTGTCTTCTGAACCTCCAACATTAAGAGGAAGGGAGGGAGCGATCAATCTTGGTGCTGTTTCACGAAAATTACAGTGACCGCAGCAAAGTAACCACTGCCAGATGCCCCACTCACCCTCTGTAGAGCCAGCTCTGCTTTCACACAGGAAGGACAGGGGCTGCGGGAGATTTAAACCTGCAAGAAGGGAGGCAGACGGGGAGCCATGTTTTGAGGATAGACGCAAACCTGAGGAGCTGAGAAACACTCACTCCTTCCATCTGCAGCTCTGGGAGTGCAACAGGAACAGGCGCTGCACCCAAGTCAACTCGCCATCTTGGGGCCCCTCCCACCCTCAAGGAGACTTGCCGGCAATGGCAGAATGCTGCTGCACGCTTCCCTCTGGTTGTCGCCCTGCCCAGAAAGGCCAGCAGCTTGGATTCCTGCCCAGAAACTGTGTTGGGCCCCTTCACACCTCTGCAACACCCGCTGCTCCAGCAGGAGGATGTGATTCTTTAGAATATGGTGGGGAGATGACCCCAGGCCCTGCCCTACTGCGATAGATGTTCTAGTGGCACCAGCTAGTCACCTCCCAGAAGAAACTCTGTATATTTCCCCCAGGTTTCTGATGCCATCAGAAGGGCTCAGGAGTGGGGTTTGTCACACATTCCTGTTAACAAGTAACTGTCACTGGGACCAAGGCCTGGGTGCTTACATATTCCTTCGTGTCTTCATCTCACTGACCTGTGTGGACCTCATCACTCTGACTCTGCCTTCTTGGAAAGGCCCTGTCACTCCACAGATGTCTGGCCAGCTTCAAGGCAGAAGGAGAAACAGGGAAAGCTCTTTTAACAGCAGCACGAACAAGAGAAATGACTAACCATACTAAAAGACTGGTAACAGCAGCAGCAGCCAGACAGGCCTCACCTTAAGGACTTGGGCTGCCAGAGCAAATTCAGCAGCGTGAGCAGTGCTTACTTGGCCCTCCCATTCACACAGCTCAGTTCTGTGCCCACATCACCTTTAGGGAAGAAATCAGCGTTCTAACCAGGGACACTACTTCAGGAGTCCTCCACAGCGAGTCTGCCATCTGTCACTTTATGTAGATCAGGGTTCTAGACTTCCTCCCTGAAGTTCTCAGAAGCAACTCTCAGGATGCACAGCTAATCTAGTATTGTCCAGTATTGTCTCTCGGTTGCACCTGACTCTCATTCTCTCCCCAGTAAGGTGTTGGCAAGCTCAGCATCCGGGTTCCACTCTCACATTGTCTGGCATTTCTGTGTCTGAGAAGTCCTACATTGACCAGGCTCCCTTGTTGCCTGGAGTATGATGTAATCAGAAAATAGACGCGTAAATGTGCACATGCGTATATATTTGCTTGTGAAATTAAAGTCACCTCTCGCCTCTGCTTTCCTGATCATTTGTTAGAGACATGGATCAGGAATTTTTTAAAATTATTATTGTTTCTCTAAACTATTTGCATTGTGTTCATAAACCCATTTTAGAAGTTTGAACAGCAAGCTTTTCCTGATTTTAAAAACACAAAGATGCTTTCAATGAGCTATTCTGTGATTTTTTTTTAAAGTCCCCAAATATGTACTTAGCCTTCTGTTATTCTTTATTCTTTAAGAAGTGTTGGCTTCCATTGACCATATGAAGGCCACCAATTAAATGGTTGTGTTAATCCAACATGTAAAAAAAGTTTGGCAGGGCACAGTGGCTCACGCCTGTAATCCCAACACTTTGGGAGGCTGAGGCAGGAGGATCACTTGAGCCCAGGAGATTGACGCACAGTGAACTATGATTGCGTCCCTGCACTCCAGCCTGGATGACAGAGTGAGACCCCCATCTCTTAAAAAATAAAAAATAATAAAGATTTGAACCTGTTTCACTATGGCTGGTTTGACCTAATTTCTTTATCTTCACGCACTATGATTTCTAATCCACAGAAGACGAAGGGAGGAAATGTGAACACAAAGTCCATTCAAGTCGCCCTGTGGCTGAAGTGAATAAATTTTCAGATGCATAACCTGTTTGGTAGCTTATTCGGGAAAATGTGAGTCGAAATGGGGAGAGGGCCCTGGAGGAAAGGGTGGACTGTGCTGCTGGAGCCTTCACTGTTTTCTGATCACGTCTGTCTTGTGCTACAAACTCACACGCTGTGGTCAGTTTTGTTCCTGCAACAGTACTGCAAATCCAGACCAGGCTTGTTTTTACAAATACCAGTTCTAAATGTACATGTTGCTAATTCTTTCCACAGTGCCAGTCTCACGGTTGGAGGACATAAAGTCATTCAGCTGTATCTGTAGGATTTACACAAGTGCTGGGGTGGAGGGGAGCACGGAGAGCTTAAAGAGCTTAACGAGCCATTTCTGTAGTACAGTGTCTATGATAATTCTCGCCCGGGTTCATGGACTTCACTCTTTAAAAGGGAAAGGAAGAGTTACTCAGAAAGCCGAGTTCAACAGGAGCGTAACTGGAGAAAAGCAGTCACTGTGAAGAGGCTGTTGGCAAAGCAAGCACAGAAGTAATAAGAGCGGTTCAGCTGGAGCAGGACCGAGATGTAGCAGCCAGAGGAGCAAAGCTGTGCACATAAAAAATGACCTCTTCACACCCCTGACAAATGCTGGAGAAGCAGCCCGACCTCTTTATGCTCCACGGTTTACTGATGGATTTGCCCAGTTTTATTTTAGCAGCAGGAGAAGCCAGTGGAATGCCGGAGTCTATCTGGGGAAGGGACTTTCCATGACTGAAGGAGGTCACCGAGCTAGCTCCTTGGGGCAAAGAAAATGGCAGCTGCTCTCTATGTAACTCCAGGCACCCACCGGAAGTTTCTGTGGGGTCACAAAATGCATGTGTTGGTAAATCAAATACCCAAATCCTCCTCAATATGGGTGATAGTCTCTATCCAAAACTTAGGGGAAAGGGAGGAACAAAGATAAACACTATTCACAGAAGGAACAGTACAATCTGTGGAAGATTCTGGAGTCCACCTACTCGCAGTGTGCCCGTGGGTAAGTGGCTGAAACTCTCACATCCTCAGCTGGCACATCTCCATGATTCTATGTGAGAACGGTGAAGGTGGAGGTGTGCAGGGTACCAGCAGCAGTGCTCACGCAGACAGGATCCTCAGCTCACCCTCCTGAATCCCACAGGGAGGCAGGGCAAGAGTGGATCCGTCGGCCAGTCTGGGATCTCTCTCCTCCAGGGGCTCTTCATTGAAACCAACTGTTCCGTTTCCTGTCCTCAGCTCCAGGAGGCCCTGAACAGGTTGGGAGGCCTCTTCCCCTTCAGAGACACTGCCCACAGCTGTTCAGCCTCCTCCCATCCCTACCCCCATCTTTGTCCTTCGTGGCTGCATTTCCCTGACTCTGGCCCTGAATATCCTTATTCCACCTCCGATGAAAAAAAAAAAAAAAAAGCTACCAAAGCTAGGGCCAAGTGGGAAAGCCTGGCTATCTATAATGTGACACCTCATCACTGCTGTCTCTGCCCTGGGAATCTCAAGGAAAACCTAGGTTTTCTCCTCTCGAGTAGCTATTTATTACAACCCTGTTTCAGGGAATGCCACGTGCAAATGTTTCCCTCCCTTCGCACTCTTATTACCAAACTTTCTGTAGGACAAGCTTGCGTCTTCAGCTAAGGAGAACGCTTCAGCCTACAGGTGACAAAAGAGTCCCTGAAAGTGGAAGCATGGTTTTGAAATGAACCACCATGAATCTAATGTCCCTGGTGAAACTAAGAAGCAGCACTATCGGTAAAGATTCTATCTGCTCTGCTCGAGTCAATGGAAAATGCTTGTTTACCGTGATGCCACCCAGCTTGTAGTAGTTTTGTTTGTTGTTGTTGTTGTTGTTTTAACACTGGAGGAGACAAGATATATTTACATGGCTAAGTTTTCATGTCTCCTCAAGACGAAGGCACCTTTGTTAACAAAGTTAAGTGCATGTTAAATCTTAGGCCTGAATGCTCACGAATTCGAGGAATCTGGGGAAGAGTCACAGATCGCCTTCACCGCTGAGTTTCTGGAACACCAGAGCAAGAGGGTTTCAGCTGGGTCTCCTCTGTAGAAAGAGACCTCTACTCAATGAACTCCAAGGCAGGGCCTGTTTACACTGGACAGCTTTCCTGAAAGCTTGCTATTCTTATTGGAGTACAAAAACGACTAGATGGTCACCGTTGTTCATGAAGAAGTACCCTTTGCTCCCCCAAATTTTAGAGAGAAGATCCCTGACTTCTTCTTAAATATCTCTAGATTAAGAGATTTTATCATTGTCCCCGAACTCTCAAAATTGTTTAAATTCCCCGGCTCTGTCCTACATCCTTTTGTCTACCTTGATGTCCCTGTCATCTAAGGTTTATTCGTTTCACTGGAGATGAACAAGAGCTGGCACTTTTGTAACATAAAAGAACCTTGAAGTCATGTCACATTTCAGTCAAGTGCTAAATAAAAACTAGGGGTCCCATCTCCTGTCCCAGCATTATAGTTATGATTTAGAAGTCAACAGATTTAAACAGTGGAAGATGTTCAAATCAGGGCAAGAGAAATCTGATATACAGTCTCGACATGGCTTGCCCCTGGGCCCCTGTTTTATATTTAAATCTTGACTTTTTTGTGTGAATTATGACTCTAGGTGCTTTAAGCGGAATATCATCCAAAATAATTCAAACAATCTCTCTTTTAGGGTGCTGCAACATTACCATCCCAGGAAGAAGTGGGTTTGCATTTTATGATTTACATTAAATTGTTTATCTGAAACTTTCACAAGGCACCCTGGTACTAGACAGGCGTCTTCTAGGAAACAGGACATATTTAGGCATGAGGTTTACTCTGCTTTTATCTCAACATGGGACACCTTGCAAAGTAATAAGCTTTTTGAGGGGGTGCATTTCCCCTTTATTCTCTCATCACATCTCTGTTCACTTACATAGAATCAGAAATACAGTTTTACTAAACAGTCATGA